ATTCAGCCGGTTCGGTCTGATTCAGACGAGCTGGTAGTTAAATTGCTGGCTGGCCCCGCCTCGCCCCTTCCAGGAGTCCCCATGCACCCCATTTTGGCTCCCAGGAGGCTGCAGAGAGGCCTACTAGGCCCAAAAACGGGGCGCGAGGGGCAGCACGTCCTCCCTGTGGCTCGTTTTTGCTCCCAGGGGGGTGCAGGAGGCCGAGTGCTGCCTGTCACACCCTCTGGCCACGCCCCCATGGCCACGCCCACCCAGCCGGTCATTAGGGCAGAGAACCGGTTGTTAAATTATTTGAATCCCACCACTGGTAATAAGTCACTTTTTTCTGTGCTTTAGTGTCTTCGAACTGTCACTAAATGAACTGTTGGACGTCGAGGACTACCTGTATATGTGTGAGAGAGCATTTCAAGGAATGTCTCAGGAATATTCTGCCTTGTGGAATCTTAAAAAAGAAAGAAAAATTTTTTTTCCACTGTCCCTGTTCACAATCCAAATCTAAACAAAACAAATCAATGCACACAGATGTTTATTGAGATGTAAGGGCAGTTGAATTTAATTCCAGGTAAAATGTTATATAAATGTGGAACCTGGGAATCCTATTTTACACACATACACGCAGGCACAGGCACAGATACACAGACAGAGAAAGAGAGGCGGGAAGAAAAGTTTAGAAAGGAAAGAGAGAGGAAGAAAGAGGGGAAGTGAGGAAGAGAAAGGGGAAGAGAGAGAGAGGGGGAGAGAGAGAAGAGGGGAAGGAAGGAAAAGAAAGAGGGAAGGGGAGAGAGAGGAAGAGAGGTAAAGGAAGAAAGAGGGAGAAAGAGATGGAAAAGAGGAAGAGAAAGGGGAAGAGAGAGACAGAGAGAGGAAGAGGAAGAAAGGGGAAGAGAGAAAAAGAAAGCAGGAGAGAGAGGGAGAGGAAGAGAAAGGAAGAAAGAGAGGGAGGAAGAGAGATGAAAAAGAGGAAGAGAAAGGGGAAGAGGGAAAAAGAAAGAGGGGGAGAGAGAGAGGAAGAAAGGGGAAGAGAGGAAAAGAAAGGGGCTGGGAGAGGAAGAGGAAGAGAAAGAGGAAGAAAGAGAGAGGGAGAAAGAGAGATGGAAAAGAGGAAGAGAAAGGGGAAGAGAGAGACAGGAGAGAGAGAGGAAGAGGAAGAAAGGGGAAGAGAGAAAAAGAAAGGGAGAGAGAGGGAGAGGAAGAGAAAGGAAGAAAGAGAGAGGGAGGAAGAGAGATGAAAAAGAGGAAAAGAAAGAGGGAGAGAGAGAAAGAAAGGGGAAGAAAAAGAAAGGGGGAGAGAGGAAGAGAAAAAGAGGGAGGAAGAGATGAAAAAGAGGAAGAGAAAGGGGAAGAGAGTGAAAGAAAGAGGGGGAGAGAGAGAGAGAGGAAGAAAGGGGAAGAGAGGAAAAGAAAAGGGATGGGAGAGGAAGAGGAAGAGAAAGAGGAAGAAAGAGAGGGGAAGAGAGAAAGAGAAAGGGGGAAAGAAAGAGGGGAAGAAAGCGAGAGTACATATTTAATAATGCAGCTTCTACCCTTCCTAATCACAAACTGCAGCTGAAAAATATAAGGTCGGTCCATGTGCTCAGTGAATTATTTATTTCTCCTGAAAGAACCTGTGAAAGAACCAGTTAAATTTAGAAGAATTTAAGCTGAGCTCTGGTTGAGCTTTCACCGTCTTCCATTTTATTCTTGTTTGTGTATAGCGCCGATTGATAATACAATATATGCAATCATAGTTCAGCCAAACCATCTTTTAGACCTGTAAATTACAGCAATGGAGAAATAGTTTCCCTATTTAATATAAACGTGCATCAAACTAAAGACAACATCTGTCTGATATGTCTAGGGCTGCATTGATAAGCTGAAGTACAGCTTTTTTTTTTTCCTAATTAGGGGTGAAGATGTTCAATTTTGGATCAACCAGTTCACTTCAGTTTATCAATCTATTTATATCTTACATTAAGCTTTGCTTAATGCTACTAGCCAGCCATCATTTGCTGATTCCTATCTACTGACAGTTTTATCAGTATAACACATTTTAAGATGGGGGCCAAATTCCAGAATTGTACCCAGCCTTAAATTTGCTGAGTTATCAATTCCCTTCAGCGAATGTCTATGGAGATTCTCAGTCATCCAGGCCATGGTTATCCCAAAAGTGCTTTTCAAAAGGAAACTGGGTTTTTTTTGAAAAATTTTCCTTGAAAACATTTTGCTTCTCATCCAAAAGCTTCTCATCCAGAACTGAAGAAGTTTCTTGGACAAGAAGCGAAACAAAGAATAGAATAGGAATAGGAATAGGAGTAGAAGTAGAAGTAGAAGAAGTAGAAGTAGAAGTAGAAGTCAATTCTTTATTGACCAAGTGTGATCAGGCACACAAGGAATTTGTCGTCGGTGCATAACTTCTCAGTGTACCATGTTTCCTCGAAAAGAAGACCCTGTCTTATATTTTTTTGAACCCTGAAATAAGTGTTTGGCCTTATTTTCGGGGAGGTCTTATTATTTTGGGGCGCGTGGAGCAAGGTGGGGTTCCTCTTGCCATTTTACCTGATTTCTAACTCTGCGTTTAAATATTTTCGGGGAAGGCTTACTTTCGGGGGGAGGCTTATTTTAGCGCATGCGCTCAAAAGACTGATTGGCCTTATTATCAGGGGAGGTCTTATTTTCAGGGAAACAGGGCACATAAACGCTATAAGTGATAAACCATGAGCATAGTCATCATAAAAATACATTCATCATAAATCATAAGATACAACACTTAGTCACAGGATACTAAATAAGCAATCAACATAATCATACTAGGAAACGAAATAAAACAATATTAATTGTAAAGATACAAGCAACAAAGTTATAGTCGTAAGAAGATAGGTAATAGGAAAGATGAGAAGAATAATAGTAATATAGGCTTACTAGATAATTTGACTGTTGTGGGAATTAGCAGAGTGATGGCATGGGGGCAAAAACTGTCCTTGTGTCTAGTTGTGCAATGTGCTATAGCATCGTTTTGAGGGTAGGAGTTGAAACAGTTTATATCCAGGATGTGAGGGGTCTGTAGATATTTTCACAGCCCTCTTTTTGACTCGTGCAGTAGTGGGTTTCAAAATCCGTCGCTACCGGTTTGCTCATGGGCGCGTGCACACTTGTGCAACGCTTCTGCACATGTGCAGAAGTGTCTGGGCAGGTGGGTGGAGCCTCCCGCTGCTGCTGCTACCGGTTCGCCCGATCCGGGGTGAATCGGTAGCAACCCACCACTGATACAGGTATACATTTTCAAGGAAAAAGTAAAGAAATCAGTTGCTTTTTGAAAAGCAGTTTTGGGAACTCCCTTCAGCAGCAAATTCTCTATAATGCTTATGCTATCAATTGGTATTGGTAAGTAGTAAAATTTGACCTCCTGACTTGCTTCTGTTCATCCTGGCTGAAAAATGAAGGTAATTAAATAATGTATATCGCAGTGGGATTAAGTAGTGAGCTAGAGGAAGTTGGCAGCCCAGTCTTTACTGGGAGTTGGGGGTTTTCTGGAACGCTGACAGAAGTGACGTCACTCCTTGTGGCCATAGACTCACATCTTTTTCTTTTATGATGATGATGGATTTTTTGTTTTGTTTTGATGTGGTATATGAAATTCACAACATTCTGATATTCGCTTCCAAATGGTGTCCATTGCAACTTCAGGAGTGAAAGACACAGGTTAAATTCCAACCAAACCGATTCATTGCTCATGCGTATGCACAGGAATCTAGTCAACTAACGGTTAGCACTATTTTGGCGCTAGATAATGGTTAACGGAATTCAAGAGGGGTTGGCCTTAGTCCGTTTGTGACTATGTAGAGACTCTAGGCTGGTTCCTCTTTTGACTCCACCTCCAGATTCTGTCACTCCTTCTCCTACAGGAATACATACTATATCTAGATCAGGGGTGTCAAACTCGATTTCATTGAGGGTGCATAAAAGTTGACACAGGGTAATGTTTGACCTCGGTGGGGGGTGGGTGGGGCTGGGTGCCTGGCCAAGGGGCGTGGCCAGCTTGGCATCCATTTTCAGCTGGACGGCCTCCTGCAGCCCTCCGCCAGCGAAAATGGAGTTGGGGGCCTGCAGCCCTCCTGAGCTCTGTTTTCGCTGGCAGACTCACCATGGGCCGGTCCTTTGCTGTTTCTAGGGTGGCCCCGCAGACTAGATCTAAGCACCCCGCGGGCTTGATCCGGCCCGCAGACTTTGAGTTTGACACCCCTGATCTAGATAGTTGCTCTTTTTGGATGAAATATAATTTACACCGAGATAAAGAAGAGGAATTAGATCCAAAAATGGTGTAGAAAGTTAAATTTGCCTTCTTCAGGACCCTGAAATATTCCCCCCACCCCATGCACGGAGGATTCAATGGAGACAATAGGCCTATTGTTTCCATAACCCACTTTGTACTGTATCAATAATCTTACAAAGAATTACAATGCCTTAATGCCATTTTCAAAAGCTGGTTTTCAGTTCATTCTGTTTTACTTAACATTAAAAGGGCAAAATGTCCTATAGCTTGGTAGCGTTCCCTCTCAATTTCAGTACAACTTATTTCTGTAAGAAAGCGGCGATACAATTGCAAGGGTCGTAAATGTATAAAGAATAGTTTGATAACACCTTTCCCCCCCAAAAAAAGAATTAAATGCAGCTAATTTTGTATAATTTTATATGGAATTGTCTTGAGGAAGAACTTCATAGCTTAACAAGTGTCAAGAAAGAAGAAAATGGTTTTCCAAAGCATCTTTTTGCGCTTGATTTTTTTTTCACGTTTCAGGATATTGATGGATAAGCCCTTTTTTTTTTATGTCCCATGAATGCCGCCAGAAAATAAATATGTTTATTTTTTCCCCCACCTCTACAAATGTAATTCTTACAGCTTCTGCTTTGCACACTGGCTTGAATGACAGTTCTGATTATTTTTTTTTAAATTATTGATTTATTCATTTTAATGATGGCTTCCACTAACCAATCTTTAACTAACTGTGGTTGTTTAATTACAGAGGGAACATTCCCACGCTCAACAGGTACAGTAATTCTCCTTTTTAGCTCTTTTAAAAAGTAGCTAGTTGTCAGAAGAATGTGTAGTTTTAACACAATTTTTTAAAAGAATTGGGTTATTAACAACCTAACTTTTTTATTTATTTATTTATTTTGGAATCTGGTTCCCGCTCAAAACTATACCAATCTCTAATCCTTATTTTCAGGGTTTGTTTTTAATGTTTTCCTCTGTTCCCCTTTGAATGTTTCTGTGTTTTTTCTTCTCTTTATCCTTTCTTTTGGCATGCTATAAAAATTAACCTCACTAGCGCACAAGACTTACCTTACCTGCCTTAAAATCCTGTTCCAGATCTTGAAGCAAAAATTGGTCATTTTTCCTTCCTCCCTTTCTTTTCCCTTGGGTAGCAAAGATGGACCCCAGCTGGCCCACTCACCAATCGGGATTTAAAGCAGAATGAGTAACTTTACTCCAAGTGGTTTAAAAAAAAGGAAAAATACACAGGTAGTCCTCAACTTATGACCACAATTGAGCCCAACATTTCTGTTGCTAAGCGAGACAGTTGTTCAGGGAGTTTTGCCCTGTTTTACGACTTTCCTGGCCACAGTTGTTAAGTGAATTGCTGCCGTTGTTAAGTTAATAACACGGTTGTTAAGTGAGTGTTTCTTCCCCAATTGACTTTGCCTGTTGGAAAGTCGCAAAAAGGGATCACATGATCCTGGGACACTGCAACCGTCATAAATGTGAGTCAGTTGCCAAAAGCGTCTGAATTTTGATCCCGTGACCACAGGGACGCTGCAACTGTCATGTGAAAAACCGTCACAAGTCACCTTTTTTTCAGTGCTGTCGTAACTTTGAATGGTTACTAAATGAACAGTTGTAAGTTGAGGACTACCTGTATATTGGAAAAAAAAAATAATTCTCCAGGTTTTCTGGATATTGACCCATATCACAAACTAGTGAATGTCAAATTTTCCAGCTGGGGAAGGTTCTGAATGTAGATGCCTTAACTTTTTCATTTGCCTACACCCTAAATCTTATTTTAGGGAAGAGGTTGCAGAATATCCTTGTCAGCATTTGCTCACCTGTGAGTAGAAGGGATGTTGTGTCTTCACTTACCTGGCCTTCCCTGAGAAAGCTGCCATTAGCTTCCCTCAGATGAAGGCCAAGTCCAGTTTTCAAAAATGCCCAGGGGAAGAAAAGTTTTACAAAGTATTTGAATTAAAACACTGGGGGTCGGTGGGGTGGATACCCTTTGCTTGTGAAAAGCATATCCCCGAAGGAACTGGTGCTTAATTCCCCAGGTCCTAAAGAAATAACATTTATTACTGGATCGGGACCAAGAATTGGGTTTGAAGACTAGCACACACCCTTTTACAGCAGGGGGAAGCAAATAGAAGTTGCCCCCCCAACGACAAGAAAAGAGCAGGATTTTTAAAATCCCTTTGGGCTACAGATCCATTTGAAAGTCTGGAGAAACCTACGAAACCCCTTATCATAAACATTATTTAAATGCATGAAGTAAAATGCATAGATGTACATCATACTGTAAAGTTGTTCAGATTCGTCTATCAAAAATATTTTAAAAAGAGAACGTGTAAGCCTGCCAGCGTTCACCTTGTGAAGGGAGATGGATGGCATAAAATTTTTAATAAACAAAAATAAATAAAATAATCTCAAATTACTTCAAATAGAGAGATTTGTTAAAGATAATGAGCATTTTTGGAGACCAGGCAACGAAATAAGGCCATACCTACATGGGTTGCTGGCTGAAAAACTAAAGTTGTAATGTTTTTTCCAGCCCGGGTCAGATGACTCCTAAACTCTTATCTATAGACATCAAAGCGATCTGTGGACTCGAATTAAGAACCCTGTTCTAGTCCATCGTGTGTGAAAATGATTTTGGGATGGGGAACGGCCCAGTCAATGGTTTCTAGCGGTACTTTGGTTTTCTCCCCGCTTGTTAAATCTTCCACCAGTAACTCCAGTTGGCTGAGGGGTGTATTCTCTCCAGTTTGAATGCCTTGGCAGAGATAACTTTCCTCTGCCTTAAATTAACTTTTTTTTTTTTAATGCCAACAATTCATTACGGCTTTCCAGGGAGGGTGGGTGGGTGGAAAGTGGTTGGCTGAGAACATAATTATTATATAGTCATTTGTCAGGAAAGATGTACAGCCTCTCACTCCGAAGAGAATGTATTTGCTTAGCCGTCTTCCAGAACGGTGTTGTTCTTTTCTTTCCCGTGTTGTTTCTTTCCTTTAAATGCAATTTTGCAAATATGGCTTTAAGGCAAATTGGAGAGGGTGGGTGGGTGGGTGGGTAGAGATAAGCGGGAACTCACTGGCTCATTCTATATTCAGGCCTATTTCTCACTAAAGTAGTAATCACTGCACCATTTGAGGCAAGAGATAGAAGGCCAACATGACAACTTCTTTCTATGTCAGAAGGAAATACGCCACACTTCACAAGCTAGCATGCTCTGGACAAGTCTAATTTTTTTTTTCCTTAACCACCCAACGTATTAGATTTTTTTTTATAGGTAGGGATTTTTTTTTTAATCCACACAACAAAGAATTCGATCATTTCCTCTGTGGTGAAGTGATGGGGTTTTTTTGTAGAGGTATTTGAACCTTCGGACTACAATCTTCTGCTTTCTGTTTGTGAGGGACTCATCCTGTAACATCCATTGATGTCACTATTTTCTTGAAGGAGTTCTAGTTTCACACAAATGGATGCACACAAACACCTGCTGTCTGGCAATTCCCTTGCCATTGACCAGGGGGTCTCCAAAGTTGAGAACTTTAAGACTTGTGGACTTCAACCCCCAGAACTCTGGAAATTGAAGTCCATAAGTCATAAAGTTGCCAAGTTTGGAGACCCCTGCCACAAACAAGAGATACTTTCTACAAATCAGCAAGGGATCGGCTGCTGTTGTGATATCACAAATGGCTGGCGTGTGGACCGGTGCATGGAATGCCTTCTTCTGAATCAAAATGCTCACCAGATGTTGGGAATGATCTCTAGTAGTACAGGGTATCAATCAGTATCTGGAATGCTGCACTGTTGAATCAGCCATTTCAGCTGGCCATGTTGCGGGAGAGAGATGACGAGACGGGTAGACGTAAGTCAAGGCGAGCCATCAGTTGGGTTCCAGATGTTGACTTGTGAGTCCTTCCATGATGACCAACAGTAAAGTCATCTAGCAGTTGTTCCTCAGTACCAGGAAGTTGCTCTCCATTGGAGAGGTGATGGGTTCATCCGACCCATTGCTTGAAGAAGAAATATGCTATGTAGGAGTGTCCGTGGGGATGATTTAAAAAAAAAAAAAAGATGGTGGCTGCCATGGGACAGTTGAAACCCCGCCTCCTTTAAGGTACATTCCTTGTTAAAAAGGGGTGGGGCTTTGACTGGCCGCCATCTTGAACCCTATGACCAACTCTCCAAATTGTCCCTGGAATATAAGAAGCTATTTTATTCCAGACCAGGCTCCCATTTATAATATTTGTATCCTTAGGAGCCCCAAAAAGTCACTCCTGGGTTGTGTTGCCCCAACAGAATGGCTACTAAATGAACACACAGGGTTATACATGCATACACCTGAACCAATTTTAACACTAACCAAGTTTAGCATGGTTGTGTGACTGCTGTTCTTATGCCTGGAATTGATCTGGTTAGGTGTGTTGCCTAAACACAACCTCTAGATGACTTTCAGATAGATGCTCACAATAACATCTCACCCACCAGTTTGAACGCCATCTCTTGCCAATTCACGACATGGGTAAGATTATTGCCCAGAGGTAGTCCTCAACTTGCAACCACAATTTTCTGTTGCTAAGCAAGGCACTTGTTGAGTTGCACCCCATTTGATGAGGTTTTTGTCGCCGTGTTAAGCGAATCACTGCAGTCGTTAAGTGAAGCATGCAGTTGTTCAGCAAATCTGGCTTCCCCTATTGACTTGGCTTGTCAAAAGCGGGCAGGGAAGGTTACAGATGATGATCATATGACCCGGGGACAGTGCAGCCGTCACAGATACATGCCAGTTGCCAAGCATCTGAATTTTGATCACATGACTCCGGGACAATGCAATCATGATAAATACATGCCAGTTGCCAAGTGACCGGATTTTGATCACGTGACCTTAAGGATGCTGCAATGGTTGTAAGTGTGAAAACAGATCATAAAACACTTTTTTTCAGTGCTGTTGTAACTTCCAATGGTCACTAAATGAATGGTTGTAACTCGAGGACTACCTGCATTTCAGAAAAGCAAACATTTCTGAGCCTGTTCTGTTGATACTGATATATGGGCACTGAAATCCAGCATAAAGGTTATGCCCAGCTGGCACAGTAGACAATACCCATGATTAGAGATTTCCTGAACATATTTCAACCTGCTGTAACCGTTGTGTATTTGTGTTGATGTATATCCATGGCCTTTGTTCAAAGAAAATTTACTAAATCTTCAGAAACTAAACATAGCTCTCTGTGTATAGGGGTTTGTGTTTGTGTATATGTGTGTGTTCTTAATTTGCAAATGCTAATATCTGTCTATCATCTGCTTCTGTCTGCCAGAGCAATGTATAGCTTAACCGTTGAAAACATAATTTGGGAATAGTCAAGATATAAATTGTTCCGCAATGTATGTGGTTTCTTTTAAAAACAAAACAAAAACAAAACAGTGGAACAGGAGAGAGAATGCCTTCCTGGGTTTCTTTTAGTCTATGCCGTTTTTATTTTAATTATTTGTCAAAGAAAAATTACAAATTCGAAGAAGCAAAATTGAGAAAAAAAAACTAAAATATGACAGGGAGGATAGCCACACTAGTACACTTTACACATGCCCCCCCCTTAGGAAACCCCTAAAATATGGAGAAAGATCCACAGAAGTTAAGTTAGAATTAAAAATTGTGGAAGTTAGTAGCTGAGACAACTGAATCGGGTAAGATACCCCAGACTTTGAAGCTCAATAATTCTGCATGAAATTTGTAACGCTGCTGTAATTGAAATCAGAGTCCTGGTGTTGTTGGGACTCACAAAATGAACTGCAAATTAAAATAGCCTTTAGTGAAAATTTCACTTCTGCCTTCTACTGATCAAGTTATTTTAGCAAATTCCCCTGGGTTCTCCCCCCCCCCCCCCACCCAGCCTTGGTACTTCCATCTGCAAAATGGGTTTAATATAATACACTAGAAGAGTTAACAGTTCTGCAATGCAGATGAAGTGCTTAGAAAGCCCTTTCCAGATGCCAAGGGGCTAAATGGAAACCAAGATTCTTGCTCAGAGTAATCCCATTAACAAAGCTCTCTGGAGAGCCATGAATCTTAGATTAGCTTGTCACCAGTTTCGCTCCCTTTTCATTTCAAGCAGGTAATCATTATTTCAGAAAACCAATTTCATTGTATACATGATGTACATGATGTAATGACAATAAAGGCAATTATTATTATTAAAAAGAGACTTAAGAATCTGCAGGGCTGCAGACTGAAAAAATCCAGCCTCGTGGAATTAAAATTATTATTACAATTCCTGACCTTTTAAAGACTGGCTCAGGTTTTTTTTTTAAAAAGGTAGAAATAAATAAATAAATAGCCACATGGACAAACTCCAGCCCAGTTTATTCCAACGAACAGCTCTGAATGTTTATATGTCCAAAACTCAGAGATCAAACTGTGGAGTCCTCATCTATTCATTATTATAATTATTTTTAAGTGCCACAAATATATGTGAGGCGTTACGTAAAAAAGTAAAATAAATGCAACAGCCCATCCCAAAGTTTGGTGTAATCTAAAATATTTGCTTGTGGTTTGAAAATCTTGGTGAAAATTTCAAATCCTAGAATGCCAGTTATAACAGAGACCTTAGAAGTCTTAGTCTAACTTCTTATCCAGGACACAATTTGTATGGCTGTGCATCTCACATTCCTGACTCATGACAATTAAAAAAACAACATCAGAAACAAAATTACAGATTCATAATAACATGCAAACATACCGTGTTTCCCCGAAAATAAGACATCCCCTGATAATAAGCTCAATTGGGCTTTTGAGCACATGCGCTAAAATAAGCTCCCCCTCGCCATTTCCTCTGGTTAGGGTTAGGGAGACAGAGCTGGAAATCAGGTAAGATGGCAAGAGGGGCCCCGTCTTACTCCACACGCCCCCAAAAATAAGACCTCCTTGAAAATAAGGCCAAGTGCTTATTTCGGGGTTCAAAAAAATATAAGACAGGGTCTTATTTTGGGGAAAGCATATATTAACCATGATTAAAATCACAATGAAACTAATAGCTCTCATAGGAAATTCCTCCTTCTTTAGAGTTGGGATTGCCTATGCAAAGCCCCCACCGTACTATGGAAAATACATTCAAACCTTCTTCCCTTCAACAGCCTTGCAAAGTATTGGAAAGATCTTCCCATAAAATATGAGTCTTTGCATACAACACTAGAGCTCATAGTTTCCATTGTGACTGGTTCAACTGTTTAGCTGGCCAAATCCAATTTCTGTCATTGTTGCTTTTAACCTATACATTTTTTTTAAAAGAAAAGGTGAAAAAAAATCAGAGGTAGAAGCTCCATTGATAGTAATCTGTATTAGTAGTCGCCTTGGTAGTTTTGATGGGGATGTGGTTTCCTCCATGGGGATGGAAACTACACCAGAGGAAATTACACCCCCACCAAAATTGGCAGGGCAAATTATTGGATACAGTAAAAACAGACAGCAAACCCCACACTCCCTCATCCTGATAATGTTATCTAGTTGGGTAATGAGATGCCTGCAAACTCCCACCAAGGAGCTTGCAAGCTCTTGAGTCACCAAACTCATCAAGAGACCATCAAGAGTTCTGCATTTCCACCATGAGCCAGATATATTCTCTTTATTGGAGTCTTTTCCTTCCTAGGAAAGAATAGTTCTTCATACACCATGTCCATGGGCTTTTGATATGTTCATGGTTAGCCTGTCATGCTAACCCATAAAATAATCTGAAAAGGTGCAAACCCGGTCTTGACACACTATAGACCGGATTCATTCGGCCCAATGGTCATATGACTCAGAGGAGAAGGTTAGTATTAAATGAAGCACAGGTAGCCCTCAATGTACAACCACGATTGGTACCCAGAATCTCGGTTGCTAAGCAAGCCAATTGTTGAAAGAGCTACGCTCAATTTTGCAACCTTTTTTTAAATTATTTTTTGCCATTTATCACTGCAGTTATTGCATGAATCATGAATCTGACTTCCCTCATTGACCATGCTGGTCGGCTGGAAAGGTTGCAAACGGGGATCAGATGACCCTGGGATGCTGCAACCATCACCCCAGGGGAGAGGGTTGTTGTGGCTTGTTGGGGTCCACAAACCCTGTAAAGCAGCCTTGTTCTATCAGCGCAGCCCCTTGTACCAGCTTTACCTGAGTCCTTCGGGAGTAGGGCGGTATATAAATGTAATAAAATAAAATAAATTTAATTTAATAAAATTTAGAGAGGGACTTAAATTCTCTATCCATCTTGCAAGCCGCATGGCCCAAGGAACACATCAAGAGCCTTGTGTTGATAACAACAATACAGGGATTGGCATCCTTTTCCTGATCTTTTTTGGGTGTTTGCTCAGGATCTTAAGTGGCAAGCCGACAATGCCTTGTTCTAGCTCACAGAAATCTAATTCTAACGTTAAAAAAAAATGGAAAAGTTATAATGAGCATAAAACAAATTATTCTCACTCCTGTGTCGATCTACTTTGAGGTTTCGGTGACCACTGAAGCTCCTTCGAAACTCATTTTCAGTTCTGCTTAAAGCTGTTTAAAACCTGGTTACCAAGTTCCTCACTGACTATCCAGGTCCCCCCCCCCCCAAGAATGTTGGAGGTCACCGAGCAGCACATTCAGTGCATTGAAACACATTGTCTTCTAATTCTGGTGGAGCTATTCTTTTAATTTGGGCCTCTTGGTTTTGTAGTACAGTCAGGGGTGGGCTGCTAGGGGTTCGCAGGGCTTCGGGAGAACCCCTAGCTAAGATTCTGTGCAGTTCGGAGAACCCCCAAATCCCACTCCTGGCTGGCCCCGCCCACCCCGCCCTACCCTTCCCAGGAGTCCCCACGTGGCCCGTTTTGGATGCAGGTTAGTGCAGGGCGTACGCGGAGGCTCAGGGAGGGCAAAAAATGGGCCTACCGGAAGTTCAGGAAGGCCGGAAACGGGCCCGTTTCCAGCCTCCAGAGGGCCTCCAGAGCCTGGGGAGGCTGTTTTCGCCCTCCCGGAGGCTCGAAGAAAGCCTCTGGAGCCAGGGAAGGGCAAAAGCGCCCCCCCCTCCGTGTTGCAGGAGGTTGACTAGGCCACACCCACCATGGCCACGCCCACCCAGCAACCGGGCAGACAACCCCTTGCTAAAATTTTTGAAGCCCACCCCTCAGTACAGCTAATGGGTCTCTTAAGTGGTAGGAACAATTAGTCCCCTCTTATTTTGAATTCAGCCCCGTTCAGAGTTGAGGAAGAGGGCAGGATGAGGACAGGGCCTGAACCAACCAAACAGCAATCCTTCAAAGCCTGCAATCTGCAGATTTAATTTTGAACAACCATGCAGATGGCTTTAGGAAAACTAGAGCCGACATCATGGTAAGCTTAAATCCACTCCTATCCAATTGTTGTGTGCTGCTTTCTTTGAACTTCTACACGCCAAACCAAGTGAGGTTTTCTCCTTTATTTTTACTGACGCCCCCCCACCAAAAATGAGCCTCTTAACTAGTTTCGTGAGCCTCTTTTGTTTCTCCTGACCCCTTCTTTTTGTGCCCCGTCTGTCCTCTGCTGGTCTCCTAATACGTCCTGTGATTTGAACCTGCTGTTTAGAATGTCCTTCTCGTCTAACCTTAACCATTACGGGATGGTCCACGTGGCCAGCGTGAGCGACGTTCTCCTGGACAATTCTTTCACTCCACCGTGCCAGCGCATGGGAGGCATGGTTTCCTTCCGAACCTTTGAAGACTTCGTCCGGTAAGCAATAGGGCAGAACCAAAGTTAGGGCAGGATTGCTTGTTTTCCATCGCAGCTTCTTCTTCTTCTTCTTCTTCTTCTTCTTCTTCTTCTTCTTCTTCTCTTCTTTTCTTCTTCTTCTTCTTCTTCTTCTTCTTCTTCTTCTTCTTCTTCTTCTTCTTCTTCTTCTTCTTCTTCTTCTTCTTCTTCTCCTCCTCTTCCTCCTCCTCCTCCTCCTCCTCCTCCTCCTCTCTCCTCCTCCTCCTCCTCGTCTTCTTCTTCTCCTCCTCCTCCTCTTCATCATCTTCTTCTCCTCCTCCGCTTCGTCTCCTCCTCCTCTTCGCCTTCTTCTTCTCCTCTTCCTTCTCTTCGTCTTCTCCTCCTCCTCTTCATCTTCTTCTCCTCTTCCTCCTCTTCGTCTTCTCCTCCTCCTCCTCTTTGTCTTCTCCTCCTCCTCCTCTTTGTCTTCTCCTCCTCCTCTTCTTCGCCTCCTCCTCTTCTTCTCCTCTTTCTCCTTCTCCTCCTCCTCTTCTCTTTTCTCTCTTCTCTGCAGAGCACAAATCCCCCAAGTTAAGCTATGTATCCAAAAGGATAATTTGAAGGTGGGATTGGAAGGGTAGGAGGAAAAAAATAGCATAAGGGTGAAGGGTCTGGGGCAAAGCTCTGTTGAACATCTTATGATAGAGATGTTTGTTTAACTTTGAAAGTCTATGGAGATTCTCGGTTATCCAGATCATGGTTGTCCCAAAGAGACTTTTTTTTGAAAAGGCAACTGGACTTTCTTGGGTTTTTCCTGAAGACGTCTCGCTTCTCATCCAGTTCATGAAGAAACGAAGAAGCTTCTTGGATGAGAAGCGAAACGTCTTCAAGCAAAAACCCAAGGAAGTCCAATTTGCCTTTTGAAAAAGCACCTTTGGGTTTAACTAGTTTATTTCAACTAGTTGAAGTTATCTGTTTCATCTGGGTAAGGGAAGGGACCAGCCTATGCAGTTTGTCGTCATGTAGCTCAATGTTTCTCAGCCTTGGAGACTTTTAAGATGTGTGGACTTCAACTCCCAGAATTCTGCAGTCAGCAAGGCTGGCTTAGGAATTCTGGGAGTTGAAGTCCTTCTTAAAGCCACCAAGATTGAGAAACGCTTGTAATGTTAAGCAACTTTGTCCCATACCAACAATACTTTTCTCCCTTCCTACTTGTTACCCTGTTTCCCCCAAAATAATAAGCCCAATTGGGCTTTTGAGCGCATGGCAATAAGGCCAAGCGCTTATTTCAGGGTTCAAAAAAATAAAAAAAAATAAGACAGGGTCTTATTTTCGGGGAAACACGGTACCCTTTTCGATATTATACCTTGATGTCAGAAATATTGCAGGATATTGTGGACCAGAGAAACCAGATGAGCTGGGTGGGACAAGTTTGAGGCAATGAAATGGAATGCTGGGATTATTTTAAAATGTTGGATTGCTGTTGGATATTTAGATGACGGCTGATCTTTTGCTTATGTCCTGCTTCAGACTTTTTGACGAGATTATGGGATGCTTTTGCGACTCTCCACCTCCAAGCCCCACCTTTCCAGAATCAGGACACCCATCCCTGTATGATGAAGACAAGGTACAGTCGTCTATTCTGACTGGGTTTGACAGTAGAGACAACTTCTTGAGTTGAATGGATGGGGGTGAATTAAGGGAGCTGTGGAGAAAATGGTATGTGCAAGCATATGGATGCAGTTCATTAAAGCAGCTGTATCTTTTTTGGGGCTTGTGCAACACGTTTGAGTACCGATGGAAGAGAATACTTGTAGCTCAGGGTTGAAATGTGGGGTCTTTGATGCTCTCTGAGCTTGGTTGGGTGCTTTCTTGCAGACCTTTTATTACCCCCCCCTTTTTTTTTTGGTCTTTTAATGACCTCGTAATCCCTTGCGGGGTGGAGCCAGGGCAACTGAATGGAGCTGTTTACTGGCCGGATTCCCTTCCTGTCGCCAATGTGAAGTTTGGAGCAGATATATTCTCATTGTGCCCAGAGAAATATCTGCCTCTACCTAGGATCAAACTCACAGCCTCCTGATTGTGAGGCGAGATCTCCACCTCTAGGCCACCGCACCACTTTCGTTTTGTTATCCTTGCACTGATATCTAGTTGGGTAATGAAATGCTGCAAGAAAACAATCAACCAAGCTCAGAGAGCACGAAGAACCCTGCATTTCAACCAGGAGTGGGTCCTACTTACCTTTACTACCGGTTCGCAACAGATTGTCTATGATGACGTCCAGGAGGGTGGGCGGAGCCTCCCTCCACTTTTACTACCAGTTCGCAAGAACCGGACCGAACCGGGAGCAACCCACCACTGATTTCAACCTTTAGCTACAAATATTCTCTTCTGTTGGTAGCATACATGGGCATCAAATCGTTCAGAAAGCACACAAATGAGAGAATTTTGCATGTAGGCAAACCTCAACGTAGCATTGATGATGTTACCTAGTTGGGTAACGAAATGTCTGCAAGATAACAATCAAGTTCAGAGAGCTCCAAAGACTCCAGATTTGCACACGAGGGATGCACTGCCCTAATTTATGGTATTCCTTGTTTCTGATGATGGTAGAATCTTATTGGTTCCAGATCCATGAGAAATGTAATCTGAGTCACGCAAAATTATATGAGGCCTATTCTTAGTTTAAGGGTTGGAAACCTTTCAGGCATTGGATGTGAAGATGTGCGATGACATAGTCCCAGTTTTTTTGGGGGGAGGGGAGGAAATGACCCCATATCTTGCAAGACTATCCTATTTCTTGAGAAACGGAAATCTCATATAACAATGTCCACATATGGTGACTTCTTCTGTAAGAAACAAATTTAAAAATTGCACAGTTTTAAGATTTAATTATTTAACTATTTGTCTTTTTATAATCTATAAGACACCCAGAGTTGCCTTATAGGGGGCGGATAGATGGCATAAACATTTAATAAATAAAAAAAAATAGACAATGCCAGCAATCTTATGAGATTTTGGCCATACATTTATTGCATTTTTGATAGCTGTGAATGGATGCTTTGAAAGAGCTCTGGTGGTGCAGTGGTTAAAGTGCAGTATTGCAGGCCAACTCTGCCCACAGCCTTAAGTTCAGTTCAGGGTCGACTCAGCCTTCCATCGTTCTGAGGTGGGTAAAATGAGAACCCAGATTGTTGGGGGCAATATGCTGACTCTGTAAACCGCTTAGAGAGGGCTGGAAAGCACTGTGAAGCGGCATATAAGTCTAAGTGCTATTGCTATTGCTATCTTAATATCTTAAGGTAAAGGTAAAGGTTCCCCTTGCACATATGTGCTAGTTCCCGACTCCAGGGGGCGGTGCTCATTTCCGTTTCCAAGCAAAAAGCCAGCGCTGTCCGAAGACGTCTCTGTGGTCATGTGGCTGGCATGACTAATGAGGAATGCTGTTACCTTCCCACCAAAGTGGTCCCTATTTTTCTACTTGCATTTTTTTTATGTGCTTTCCAACTGCTAGGTTGGCAAAAGCTGGGACAAGTAATGGGAGTTCACCCCGTGACGCGGCACTAGGGATTCAAACGCTGAACTGCCGACCTTTCGATCGATGAGCTCAGTGTCTTAGCCACTGAGCCATCGCGTCCCACCAATGTCTTAAGCATTCATGCAAATAATTTTTCTACATTGTAAAACTGCCCAGAGAAGTGCTGTGAAGTACTATGGGGTGGTATATAAGCCTAATTGCTATTGTTATTACTATGTCTAGCTGGATCACTAATGCTCAAATGTGACACCCCAATGTGTTGGTGATTCTTGCTTTGGCAGTTTTAAAAAAGCAGTTAAGTTACAGAATTTAGAAGGATGCACTGTTCCCATCTAAAGAATGAACAGCCATTTTTCCAAAAACTCTGAAGGGTTACAAGAGAATCTCCATTCCACCTGCAAACATTATGCAGCCATTGATTTATTACCGCGTTCTCTCTCTCTCCCCACCCCCACCCCACCCCAATTCACTTTCTGATTTTTCTTTGAACCGTAGAGCGCTCGAGATGAACCTATTCATATCCTGAACGTCGCCATTAAGACGGATTGTGATATCGACGATGAAGGTCTCGCTGCCATGTTCAGGGAATTCACGCAGAGCAAGGTGCCATTCTCTAGTTATTTGTTTTTTTCCTTCATTTGTTTAGTGGAGTGGAATGCAGATTCTATCCGTCATTGCTACAGTCTTTCTCCATTTTTTTATTTTTTTTTTGAGCTGTTCACTTATCTTTTAAGGACAAGTGTCAACTCCTTGGGACAATGGCCTCTCTTTTTTTATTATTATTATTCTGGAATGGTCCCTGATAGCCACTATAGAAAATAATAACATGGCTGAGCAGCTCTCTTGTCTGAGCTATTTGTAAATAATTGTAGAAGTCACCCAGCAGTATCACTTCACAACTGAAGAAGGGTGCCATCTGATTAGATCTTAAAAGGTAGTGTCTCTTTTCTCATATATTTTTAACTCTGCCAGGAGAAAAACCACCTTCATGCCAAGACTGACCTTGCTTTTCATGCCAAGGGAAGGGGGCAAATTAGACTTCTTTGGAGACCCCATTCTTGCTTTGTGTTGTGGTCCGCCAGCAGCCTGCGGAGCTGGCAGCAGAGTCGGACAGTGAGGAGGCTGGGGAGGAACATGGGCCGTCCTGGAGTCTGGGGAGGCCCTGACAAGGGCTCTGCGTCGGAGGCAGAGATGGGGCCAGGGCCGTCTGGGAGTGATGCGCGGACTCCGGAGCCTCCAGATTCAGACTGCAGAGAGGCAGAGGAACAGGAGGAGTCTGTTCCTAGTGCATGCATGGGCAGAGCTGCCAGAAGGCAAGAGCAAGCTAAAGCAAAAGAGATGACTCGGAAGTAAGACCAGGAGATGATTGGTCCCTCCCATAAGGCTTAAAAGAGAAACAGAGGCACTTGGGCCTTTTTGCAGGAAAGCATCGTTGCTAACTCTGTTTCCAGTCGGCATCTCTTGTTTGTTTCTGAACTTCATGGGGCTTTGCCAAGTAAGGCCTTTGGCAGGGTGTCAAAGAAGATAAAGGTTGATGATTATCCCGAAGGACTTCTTCCAAAGGGCTTGTTTTGCTACTATTGCAACTCGGCTGGGAATGAACATAATTCTCAGCTGTTACAATAAAATAGGTTTATTTGGGACTAATTGTGTCTCAGGAAGCCTAGGTCACAACAGTCTGTTTAGACGAGGGGTGTTAAATTTGGTTTCATTGAGGGCCGCATCAGGGTTGTGTTTGACTTCGGAGGGCCGGGGGGGGGGAGGGGGCGTGGCCAGCTCGACATCACTCTTGTCGGGGCGCCTGTGGTGGCCTGAGAGCTCTATCAGCGAAAACGGGCTCCCAAGCTCCGTTTTCAGCTGCAATGGCCTCCTGCAACCTTCTGCCAGCGAAACCGGAGCTCAGGAGGGCTGCCCGGGCCCCTCGTGAGCTCCATTTTCACTGGCAGAGGTACCGAGGGCCAGTCCTTTGCTGTTTCCAGGTGGCCCTGTGGGCCAGACCTAAGTACCCTGCGAGCCGAATCCAGCCCCTGGGCCTTGAGTTTGACACCCCTGGTTTAGACAAAATACAGGTAATCCTCAACTTACAACAACAGTTGAGCCCCGAATTTCTATTGCTAAGTGAGACAGTTGTTAAATGAATTTTGCCCTATTTTACTATCTTTCTTGCCACAGTTATATAAGCGAATCACTGCGGTTGTTAAATTAGTAACACAGTTGTTAAGTGAATCGGGCTTCCCCGTTGACTTTCCCGATTAGAAGGTCGCACAAGGTGATCACATGACCCCTGGGACACTGCAGCCGTCATAAATACGAGTCAGTGGCCAAGCATCTGAATTTTGATGATGTGACGATGGGGATGGTGCAACAGCCGTAAGTCTGAAAATGGTCAGAAGTCACTTTTTTCAGTGCCGTTGTAACTTCGAATGGTCACTAAATGAACTGTTGTAAGTCGAGGACTACCTGTAAACGATTGATACGTAAAAGCAAATGAAGACCTTCCTTCTTACAACTGGACTGGAACAAAAGGAAGCAGATTGAATGTCGTACTACATTTTCGAAAGGCATTACACCGCATTTGTAAAAAGCTCTGGTGGCGCAGTGGTTAGAATGCAGCATTGCAAGCTAATTCTGCCGACTGCCAGCAGTTCGATCCTGACCGGCTCAAGGTTGACTCAGCCTTCCATCCTTCCGAGATAGATAAAATGAGGACTCAAATTATTGGGGACAATATGCTGACATTTATAAACTGCTTAGAGAGGGCTGCAAAGCACTACGAAGCTGCATTGGCTTCCGGTGGTCTTCCGGGTGTGCTTCAAGGTGTTGGTCACCACCTTTAAAGCGCTCCATGGCATAGGACCTGGGTATTTGCGGGACCGCCTTCTGCCGCCGATAGTCTCCCACCGACCAGTACGCTCCCACAGAGAGGGACTCCTCAGGGTGCCGTCAGCCAGGCAATGTCGGCTGGCACCCCAGGGGGAGGGCCTTCTCTGTGGCAGCTCCTGCCCTCTGGAACAATTTGCCCCCGGAGAAACGAAGAATATCAGATCTCCGGGTCTTTCGCCGTGCCCTAAAAACTTTTCTTTTCCATCAAGCAGGGCTGGCATGAACCCCCCCCCCCCTTTTTTTAGCTTTTTAAATTGTCAATGGGTTTTAGTTTGAATGTTTTACATTTTGGGCCAAAGTCATGTAATTCTTTTAAAAATTTTAAATTTTGTATTGGTATGTGTTTTAGTTCTGGCTGTGCACCGCCCTGAGTCCATTAGGAGAAGGGCGGGATACAAATTGAATGAAATAAATAAATAAATAAATATAAGTCTGTTATTTCTATTGCCGTTCGTTGCAGTTGTTTTATTAAGAACGTTTTAATGCTTTTAATAAAACAACTGCAAAACAAACGGCAAATTAGACGAAATTAGCATCCCTTTTCTCCCGTTTTTGTTTCATTTTGTTTTAACGCATTCAGTTAAAAACAAATAAATAAATTCTTAACTTCATTTAAGGGGGAACCTTAAATCCCTAGCCTGGAAACGAAAGCGATTTAATCAAAGCCAGCTTCCTCTCGGGGATGCGTCGATAAGGAATGGCTGCCTTGGATCTTCGTTCTCGCTTCACCATCACGAAATCCTTCGTTTACATTTCTTCCCGTAAATGAACTGCTAAGCTAGCTTTTCTTTCATTTGCATGAAGGGGCTTGTGGGGGGTGTGTGTGTGTGTGTGTGTGTTTTAAGTGTGTCTGGAGGAAAGAAGGCGTTGTGCATTAAACTATCAAATAGCTTGATCCAAATTGCCCAAATAAATTTCCAGTCTCAGCATGTCCCAACAGGATTCCCTCCCCTCTTGCATGTGCCTGTGTGTGTGTGTGTACGTGTGTGTATGTGTGTATTTGATAGAAATTAGGATCGTATACTTGTAAATGACTGGTGGAGGTGATTGAAACAGACAGTGGAAATAGACTTTCTCCAGGTGTTGGTACCTAATGGCGCCGTAATAGCTGTTGAGTCGCTAGGAGGCCTGTATTATTACAATGTAATCAGAATCCCGTTGCTATATACTTATTGTCTGACACTTGTGGAATTTTAAAAGCAATAACCTTCTTTTTTAAAAGGAAAATCTCAACCTCATTATTAAAGTTATTTTCCCCCCTCCCCTCCCCCGTCGATGGCGAATGCTCATTTTCAAAGGGCGTTTACCGTAGTAAAACCTTCTCTTCTGGAAAGCAGGAATCGGATCCTGAAGCTGAGGACATGAAGCTTTTGTCTATTTTTCCTTCCTATCAAAGTCTGGAGGGTTTTTTTCTTCTTTTTTTTTTAAAAAAAAAATTTCACTTCTGATTTTGGGTGAAGTGGAGGGGGTGGCCAACTTTACCGTGGCCAACTCTAATACCATGGCCAACTATTAATGTCGAAGAAATGGTAGAATAGAACCATTAAAGTTCTATTAATCCTTAATGAGCCTTGGTGGCGCAGCAGACTAAAGTGCTGTTAAGTAGCACCAGCTGCCTGCAATTACTGCAAGTTTGAATCTCACCAGGCTCAAGGTTGACTCAGCCTTCCATCCTTTCGAGGTAGGTAAAATGAGGACCTGGATTGTGGGGGCAATAAGCTGACTTTGTTTTTTTTGTTTTTTTTTTAATTTGATTTATATGCCGCCCTTCTCCGGAGACTCAGGGCGGCTTACAATGCGTTAAGCAATAGCCTTCATACTTTTGTATATTTATACAAAGTCAACTTATTGCCCCCACAAACTGGGTCCTCATTTCACCTACCTTAGAAAGGATGGAAGGCTGAGTCAACCTTGAGCCTTGGAGAGATTCGAACCAGCAGTAAATTGCAGGCAGCTGTGTTAATAACAGGGTGCGTAGACCACTGTACCATCAAGGCTCATTTAAAAAGAACACCGCTTTGGGGGGGGCAAAGCCCTACTAAGCAGGTATATACAAAAGTATATATAAAAGTATGAAGGCGATTGCTTAACGCATTGTAAGCCGCCCTGAGTCTCCAGAGAAGGGCGGCATATAAATTGAACCAATAAATAAATAAATAAATAAATAATAATTATTTTTTGCCACGGTTGTTAAGCGAATCGTTGCAGTTAAGCGAATCCAGTGATTGTTAAGTCGACCCAGCTCCCCTCCCCCATTGACTTTGCTAGTCAGAAGCAGAGCTGAGAAAGCCGCAGATGGCATTCGCATGACTCTGGTTGCCAATTATAACTATATAATTATAAATATATGCTGGTTGCCAAGTGCCCAATTTTGACTACGAGACTGTGAGGAGGACCCATTTTAAGTCCCTTTTTTAAAAAAAGTTTTTTATTTTTTAAACAAACAAACGTTTAATACATCAGTCATTCCTTCCATGTGACATCTCGGTGTTGTCTCCAATCGCTCTTCTTTTTGTTATTTCTTCTCTCTTCATTCTCCTCCAATCAATTACAACAATTCATCACTAACAAAATATTCTAATTATAGCATTTTTATACATAACTATTAATTTACTTACTTGTATCTCTTTTCTAACCAATAGTAGAACTGATTCCATATCTTAAAAATATTCTGAATCTTCTCTTTCTTTAATCATCAAAGTCAATCTATTCATTTCTGCACAATCTATTATTGCTTAACGCATTGTAAGCTGCCCTGAGTCTCCGGAGAAGGGCGGCATATATAAATCAATCAATCAAACAAACAAACAAACAAACAAACAAACAAACAAATGGATGCCAAAGGAAGGACCAAAAAAATATGTGAATGCTAAAAATTAAAATTATTTTAAATAATTACATTGAATTGTTGAATTGTCCCGTGGCGAGTTGGCCATAGCAAGTTGTCCCTTGATGAGTTGGCTGGGGCAAATAGGCCGTGGTGAGTTGCCTTTGATGTAGTCCAGACAAAAACACCAACCATGAGTTTATTTTATCAATGTTACAAGGCCGTGATGGCGAACCTATGGCACACGTGCCAGAGACGGCACGCAAAGCACTCTCTGTATGCACGTGTGCCGTTTCCAGCTGCTCTTTTGGTTTTTAGCCCACCAAAATTGGTTTTGCATGGGTGCCAGAGCACCGGAAAATGGCTCAAAACGGAAAAAAAAAAAAACAGGCTGTTTTCCCAGTTGTTTTTTGGCTGTTTTTTAGGCCATTTTTCAGCGCTCTGGCACTCACGAAGACCAGCTGGCTGGAGTGCGCATGAATATGCATCCGGTTTGGGCACTCGGTGCTGAAAAGGTTCGCCATCACTGTTACAGGGTCTCCTACTTGAGCAAAGGGTTGGACTAGAAGACCTCCAAGGTCCCTTCCAATCGTTCTCACTGTCAGGAAAGAGTACTAGGTCTATTTTTATTATAAGGTTACTTTAATAAAATCTTACGAGAGTGAAATATATTTCTCCCCCTTGGCTTTAGAATAGAATAGAATAGAATACTTTATTTAGCCAAGTGTGATTAGGCACACAAGGAATTTCTCACCGGTGCATTAAGTACTCAGTGTTCATGCAAAACAACAGAGTAGTAATAATCATAATATCAAAGTAATAATAATCATAATATATGATACCAATAAGAGAAGATAATCGAAAACATAAAAGGATAATAATAATAATAATAATAATATAATAATAATAATAATAATAATAATAATAATAATACAGCCATATCATATGGGTAAATTGTTCTGACCCAGCTCCCCAAACACGATAAACCCTCTGTAGTTGAAGCAATGATTCCTTTATTAGGAGCGCCAGCAGCCCTCTCTCTCACAGCAGGCTAACAAGTCTGCCACATCTATTCATCTCCGCCCCCTGCCTTTTATCCCCAGAGCTAGGGTGGGGTTTTGCTAGCAGCGGTGGCTCTTCCGTCCCACAGATCGGCCCACAGATTTCCACTGCTCTCCTCTCCTCTGCCTTCTGCGCATCTGTGCGTCAGGCACTGGACCCATCTGTTCCTCCTCTTCCTCATCAGCCACCTCCAGACCTGGGGCTGTTGACTCTCCATCTGAGTGCTGATGGATGGCCCAGGCTCCGCCTCTGTCTGTCTTTCTCTGACAGTTCCATTCCCTCTTCCCCCTCGGAGCTCTCAGGTTGCCTTGATGCTGACCTTGGCTCCCACACCTCCTCCTCAGGGGTGAAATCCAGCAGGTTCTTACAGGTTCTGGAGAACCGGTAGCAGACATTTTGAGTAGTTCGGAGAACTGGCAAATACTACATCTGGCTGGCCCCAGAGTGGGGTGGGAATGGAGATTTTGCATTATCCTTCCCCCAGGAGTGGGGAGGGAATGGAGATTTTGCAGTATCCTTCCCCTGGAGTGGGATGGGATGGAGATTTTGCAGTATACTTCCCCTGCCACACCCACCAAGCCATGCCATGCCATGCCCACCAATCCTCGCCCACAGAACCGGTAGTAAAAAAATTTGGATTTCACCACTGCTTCCCCTCCTCTGATTCGGCTGCTGGAGGGGCCAGCGGTCAACAGGCCACAACATAAATACACTTAGGCATAAGACAGTACTGTGGGAATTGGATGTTCAGGAGAGTGAATGCACAAGGGAGTCTTCATTCTGACCCATGCAATATGCAGGCTGCTTGCAATTGGGTTTTTTTTGTGTGTGTGCAATCCTTACTATCTGTTGGAATATGTACTTGTCCTATTTGGTTGCTGTACCAAATCAGACGCTTATAGAAGTACAAATGACGGGCTCATTTACAATCTATGAAACTGATCACTTATGAGCAGAGGTGGGATTCACTTACCTTTGCTACCGGTTCGCAAATGTGAGCACGCACGGACTTCCGTCCGGGTAGATGGGTGGAGCCTCCATCAGTTGCCACTACCGATTCACCCGAACCGGACAGAACCGGCTGATCCCACCTCTACTTCTGAGATGTTTGCCCCACCTCTATTTCTTTTGTGGGCTCAGCTGCCTCTTATCTGACCGTTGCTTTTGGTCTCAAGGTCATTCTCACATACCCCTACAAGTGCATTCAGACTTGCAAGATTCTGCTACTACCTTATAGCAGTGACCGCTCCTAACTTTGGTTTCCTAGTCTGGTTTACTAGATTAGGAAGGCTGACTCCTGAACAGGCAAAGGAGGGCATGAATAGTTTGGAAAGGAAGACAAATGGGGGAAAGGAGGACACGCTGTTTATAACTTTCTTGGCGTCCATGACAAAAATTACAGTGAAAACCTGAAGAAAAAATATATATATACAGTACTTAGGCCTGCATCATCAAAATGTTTTTACTACTGGTTCTGTGGTTGTGGCTTGGTGGGCGTGGCATGGCATGGCTTGGGCATGGCTTGGTGGGCGTGGCAGGGGAAGGATACTGTAAAATCACCGTTCCCTCCGCAATCCAAGCAAAGGTTACTGCAAAATCCCCATTTTCTCCCAATCAGCTGGACTCAGGAGGCAGAGAATAGATGGGGGCGGGGCCAGTCAGAATTTTTACTACCGGTTCTCCGAACTACTCAAAATGTCTGCTACTGGTTCTCCAGAACTGGTCAGAACCTGCTGAAACCCACCTCTGGCCTCCATGTATATGAAAATCCGTGTTGTCTAATGGTTAAGGCACCAGGCTAGAAAGCAATTCCTATGTATAGTTCCAGAACTCTAAATAGAATTTTTTTTACAATAGCACGTATAGTTGTTAAAAAAAAAATGCTTTACCATACCGAGATTTCCCCCCCCTTTTTGCTGATCGATTTCTGGACATACTTTCTCATGTTTCTTTCCCTTTTTCCAGAAAGCTATCCTGATTGACCACGGAATTAGACGTCTAACTTTTCTGGTGGCCCAAAAGGTATTTATTTAGATCTCTTGATCTCCCTCAGTCGGCGTTTTTCAGTTTCGGTAGCTTGCATGGCAAATCGGACTGATTTTAATGGAAGAAAAAATAAATCAAATCATGTTCACAGTTGATTTTGTTTTATTTGTCTCCAGCTATGCAATGGACAAATAATGCAATTTTTCATTATGTTCTCTGAAAAAAATTAATTGAGAATTGAAAACAATGACCATATTGTACGGCTTGTGATTTTTTTTTCCTTAATTCACTTCTAATTTATGGACTAATTGCTAGTTTTTGTTTTGCCTCTCTCCCTCCTTTTATTCTTCATGCCTCTGCACCTTACATTTTGGCTTGCAAGGATTTCAGAAAACAAATCAACTGTGAGGTGGACCAAAGATTTCACGTAAGTAGAAAGACCGTTTGTGCTCAAAACAGAAAAAATATATATATGAATCTTTGATTTAAGCTTTAGTTAGCTTAATCTTGTTGTTGTAGAAATGGCTAGTACTCGCTAAATAGATAATGCAAAAAAATAAGGTTGTAATGTGTTTTGTATTCTATTGCACCAGAAAAATATGGGAAGTCGCTGCTTTTATTTTTCTTTCTTTTATTTTATCTTGCACCATTTTTTCCCTACCTTTCGCTATTCCCTCATGATCTTTAGTTCTATTTCTATTTTATATTATAATATGTTTAACTTGGGGAGGAAAAAATCTGGCTTTTCCATTGACTGTGGGGATGCAGCAAATAGTTATAAATGTGGTAAACGGTTGTAAAACCTTTTTTTCAGTACTGTTCCAACTTCGGTCACTAAATGAATGGTTGTAAGTCGAGGATTACCTGTAAGTGCCACCTCTTTCCAGCCTGGCCCTATAATTTAGAACTCTTTCTTCTGGGGTTTGTGGACTTCCTAGGATAAATTGAGCCTGGTGGCTCAGCAGACTAATAGCATTGTGATTAACACCAGCTGTCTGCAATTACTGTAAGTTCGAATCTCACCAGGCTCAAGGTTGACTCAGCCTTCCATCTTTTCTAAGGTAGGTAAAATGAGGACCCAGTTTGTGGAGGCAATAAGCTGACTTTGTATAAATATATACAAAAGTATGAAGGCTATTGCTTAATGCATTGTAAGCCGCCCTGAGTCTCTGGAGAAGGACGGCATATAAATTCATTTTTTTTTTTTTAAAATTTGATTTATATGCCGCCCTTCTCCGAAGACTCAGGGCGGCTTACAATGTGCTCAGCAATAGCCTTCATCCTTTTGTATATTTATACAAAGTCAGCTTATTGCCCCCACAAACTGGGTACTCATTTCACCTACCTTAGAAAGGATGGAAGGCTGAGTCAACCTTGAGCCTTGGCGAGATTCGAACCCTGCAATAATTGCAGGCAGCTGGTCTTAATAAGCTTAATAACAGGGTGCCTTAAACCCCTGTACTACCAAGGCTCTATTAAATTAAAAAAAAAAATAGATCAGGGGTATCAAACTCTATTTCATTGAGGGCCGCATCAGGGTTATGTTTGATTTTGGGGTGGGTGAGCGTGGCCAGGGTGGGCGTGGCCTGATTGACATCACACATGTCAGGAGGTGTGCCTGTGGTGGCCTGAGCACTCTTGTCAGCAAAAACAGGTTGCCGAGCTCCATTTTCATCCGCGACGGCTTCCTGCAGCAGCCCCCCTGAGCTCTGTTTTCACTGGCAGAGGCACCGCAGGGTGGTCCCTTTGCTGCGTTCAGGACAGCCCATGGCCAGACTAGACCCCGCTGGCAGATTGGGCCCAGCTTGAGTTTGACACCCTGAATTAGACCACATCTTGAAGAAGAAGAAGAGAAGAGAGAAGAAGAAGAAGAAGAAGAGAAGAGAAGAAGAGAAGAAGAAGAAGAAGAAGAGAAGAAGAAGAAGAAGAAGAAGAAGAAGAGGAGGAGGAGGAGGAGGAGGAGAGGAGGAGGAAGGAGAAGGAGAAGGAGAAGGGAAGAGAAGGAGAAGGAGAAGGAGAAGGAGAAGGAGAAGGAGAAGGAGAAGAAGCAGCAAAAATATTCCTTACACTTTCCTCCATCTCTTCTGGATTGCTTTGCCTGTGTTGATTGGCATGGCCCAGCTTTGAAAGGCGACTCTGAAAGCACATAACAGATACCAATCAATCAATGGCTTTAAGACAGGAAGCTGGAAAAGTATGGATAGCTTAAGTGAAAAGCAGGGGGCTTTAGGAAGTAGAAATCCAAGCAGTTTAAGAGAATAAAAATAGATAACTGGGGAGAAAAAAAGAGAATTTTTTTTTAATGCTTGTGGATAAATCCACACGCCTTGGTAGAGCTTTGGTGGAATACCTAAGCAAACAGCCGGACAGTAATAACAAAAGAACAATGTCTATGTCAGAGGTAGATCCTTTTCTTAGCAAGGACATTAGGGGGACAAGAAGTCAGATCAGATTATTGATCTGTCTTTTACTCAGCATTGTCGCTGGCAATCTTCACCAACCCTAGCATCATCCAGATACAGGTAGTCCTCGACTTAACAATCACAATTGGGAAGAGAACTTCCTACGCTAAGCAAAGCAGTGGCTAAGCGAGTTGCGACCGATTTCACAATTTTTTTTTGCTACGGTTGTTAAGCGAATTGTCAGGGTTCCAAGTAATACACCCATAGCAAGTAAAACTCTGAGGCAGGTAGATTCCTCAAAGAATAGCTTTATTGGATATATCATATTGGCGTAGAGTTTTCACCTAATTAAAAGTTTGTCACTTTCTCAAAACAATCAGTCACATGGGCCAATCACGCACGCTGTCTGGTTGCCTGGTAACATCACTCTGCCTTCCTGTGACCAGGTGTGAGAACGTCCTTGGTTCCCAAGAGAAAGTATTTTGTTTTGGCTACAGAATCCCCTTTATCTCTAATCCCCCGCTCCCTATCCCTCTGCTCCAGTGTGGCAACACTGAAGCTGTCAAGATGGCTTCGATCAGGTCGGCTTCAGGATTGACACGAATCACTGCAGTTATTAAGCAAATCGGGTGATCATTAAACGAATCCAGCTCCTCCCCTCTCCCCTCGTTGACTTTGCTTATCAGAAGCCAGCTGGGCAGGTCACAATGGGGATCACATGACACACACACACACCCCGAGACCGTGCAACCGTCATAAGTACATGCCAGTTGCCAAGCACTACCAAGAGCCTTGGTAGTACTAGGGTTTAAGGCACCCTGTTATTAAGCTGCTTAAGACCAGCTGCCTGCAATTACTGCAGGGTTCGAATCTCGCCAAGGCTCAAGGTTGACTCAGCCTTCCATCCTTTCTAAGGTAGGTGAAATGAGGACCCAGTTTGTGGGGGCAATAAGCTGACTTTGTATAAATATACAAAAGGATGAAGGCTATTGCTGAGCACATTGTAAGCCGCCCTGAGTCTTCGGAGAAGGGCGGCATATAAATCAAATTAAAAAAAAAACAAAAAAACTTGAATTTTGATCATGTGACTGGGCTAACTTCAATCATCAAAGAAAGAATTTTGAATAGGAATAAGAAGAGAAGGGAAGGGAAGATTTATTTGACCAAGTGTGATTAGACACACAACAAATTTGTCCCCGGTACAGAAGCACTCAGTGCACTCGCAAAACAATAGAGAAAATAATAATAATACAACAAGTGCAGCCAATAGAAGGAGGGAATAAGAGATCATAAAAGGATAAATAACACTACAGCCACAGTCTATGAGTTAATATACATACACATCAGGCACAGTGGTGGGTTTCAAATTTTTTTACTACCGGTTCTGTGGCGTGGCTTGGTGGCCGTGGCATGGCTTGGTGGGCGTGGCTTGGTGGGCGTGGCAGGGGAAGGATACTGTAAAATCTCCATTCCCTCCCCAGTCCAGGGGAAGGTTACTGCAAAATCCCCATTTCCTCCCGATCAGCTGGGACCTGGGAGGCAGAGAATAGATGGGGGCAGGCCAGTCAGAATTTTTACTACTGGTTCTCCGAACTACTCAAAATTTTCACTACCGGTTCTCCAGAACTGGTCAGAACCTGCTGAAACCCACCTCTGATCAGGAAGAACTTAGTTGTCATCATGCTTTGTCAACTGCGAGAATTAGGTATGCGGCAGAGTGATGCCCGAGGGAAGAAACTGTCCCTGTGTTTAGTTGTCTTGGCACACAATGCCCTATAGCGCCATCCCAAGGGGAGGAGTTGAAACAGTTTATATCCAGGATGTGAGGAATCTTCAGGTATCTCCTCAGCCCTTCTAATTCTAAGCACACTTTCTCAGCCCTTCCAAGAAACTGGGTTCATCTTTTGGTTTTTTCCCATCCCTATTCGTTCTAGTACCGGACTATCACCGTAACTTAGCGGCCATGGCGTGGGCTGGTTTTGTGTTTTAATTACAGTCTATATAATTACTTCCCAGCATGTTGAAGTAATAGAGAGTTGCTTCAGCAGGCTTCCAATTTCCTCATCTCATTAGGCTTTTAACACGATTATTAGTATAATAACCAGCTATGATGATTTTCTCATGTAGCTTTTTGCATTCTCCAATTTGCAGGGTGTCTTGATTGGTTAATTTAGGCGAATTATTCTGATTGTCTTGATGATGGTTGGTTGATTAGAACACAGCAGGGGCATAATTCCTTCATCTAGGAAATCGGGCTTTTTTTCCCCTCCTTTTTTTGGATTTTGGTATGAAAACTCTGAGGACATGTTTACCTCTGCGTCTTTCCGTTTGCATTTGCCCACGCACGTTTAATTGGATATTTGCCTGAAAGTGCTAGACTGAAGAGCTGAAAAGAAGAAGAAGAAAAAAAAATAGCAGTCAGTTTAGTGACAGTATGCTGACAAATGCAGCAAGAATAAAAAGATTAGCTTTCAGCAACATGCAAACAGCAAGAGACAAGGAAGAGTTTAGAAATGTGGTGAAGAACTAGAGAAGATTTCTGGCGTTCTTCTCTGGATTCAGTCGTGGTGGCTGGTCCAACAATTAGAAGGTCCTTGGTTAGGATACAATTAACAGAATAACAGAGTTGGAAGGGACCTTGGAGGTCCTCTAGTCCAGGGGTCTCCAACCTTGGCAACTTTAAGTCTATAGGACTTCAATTCCCAGAATTCCCCAGCCAGCAAAGCTGGGAGTTGAAGTCCTCCAGGCTTAAAGTTGCCAAGGTTGGAGACCCCTGTTCTAGTCCAACCTCCTGGTCAGACAGGAGATCCTATACCAGTGATGGCTAACCTTTTTGCTGTCGTGTGCCAAAAATGGGGGGGGGCGTGGAGGGGTTGCACATGTGCGTGCCCACACCCATAATTCAATGCGCCCCACCCCCCTGCGCATGCGCACATGACCCCCCCACGCTCCCCCCACTTTTGGCATGTGATGGCACGGTGGGCCTGGTAGGCCCATTTTTTGCCCTCCCCAGGCTCCAGAGGCTTTCTAGGAGCCTAGGGAGGGCGAAAATGGCCTTCCTCTCCCCCCGGAGGCCAGAAACAACCCGTTTTCCAACGTCCGGTGGGCCTGGAAGGCCGGAAAATCAGGTGGCCGGCACGCAGATGCGTGCTGGAGCTGAGCTCGCGTGCCCACAGATATGGCTCCGCGTGCCACATGTGGCACGTGTGCCATAGGTTCGCCATCACGGTCCTATACCATTCCAGACAGGTGACTATCCAATCTTTTCTTAAAAGTCTCCAACGATGAAGATTTTACAACTTCTGGAGACAAGCCGTTCCATTGGTTAATTGTTCTTACTGTTAGGAAGTTTCTCCTTAATTCCAGGTTGGTTCTCTCCTTGATTAGTTTCCATCCATTGCTACTTGTACTGCTTTCAGTTGCTTTGGAGAATAGGTTTGCCCCCCTCTTTTTTGTGGCAGCCCCTTAGATATTGGAACACTGCTTTCTTATGTCCCCTAGTCCTTCTTTTCAGAAGACTTGTTGTTGTTAGTTGCAAAGTCGTGTCCGACCCATCACGACCCTATGGACAATGTTCCTCCAGGCCTTCCTGTCCTCTACCATCCTCTGGAGGTAGAGGAGTCTGGAGTCCATTTATGCTTACGCCAGCTGCTTCAGTGACTCCATCCAGCCACCTTGTTCTCTGCTGTCCCCTTCTTCTTTTGCCCTCAATCGTTCCCAGCATGAGGCTCTTCTCCAGTGAGTCCTTCCTTCTCATTAGGTGGCCAAAGTATTTGAGTTTCATCTTCAGGATCTGACCTTCTAAAGACCAGTCAGGGTTGATCTCCTCTAGGACCGACTGGTTTGTTTGCCTTGCAGTCCAAGGGAGCCGCAGGAGTTTTCTCCAGCACCAGAGTTCCAAGGCCTCAATTCTTTGGTGCTCAGCCTTTCTTATGGTCCAATTTCACAGCCATACAATTCACAAAACTAGACATACTCAATTCCTGCAACCATTTTTTATATAACATAGGAAAACACACACATCAGGACTAGATTCAGCAGTTCGTCTGCATTTAAAAGACACAGGCCACTCTTGAAGATAAAGAAGTCCATATTTTGGACAGAGAGGATCACTGGTTTGAAAGAGGGGGTCAAAGAGGCCATCTATGTCAAAATTGAACAGCCCTCTCTCAACACAGGGGGAGGGATACAACATCATCTATCTCCAGTCTACAACACAGTCGTTTCAACAGTTCCAAGAAGGCTCCACACCAATTTGCACCACTCAGATGACCCTGATGACACAGATAAAGCTCCAGGTGACCTTAACAACCCGCTAAAAGAATACAAATGTCCAGCTGTCTGCAAGGTGTATAAATCCTTTCATTTCCCACCATCCAGTCAGAGCTGAAGAAGCTTCTTGGATGAGAAGTGAAAGGTCTTCAAAGAAAAACCAGAAAGTCCAGTTGCCTCTTGAAAAAAGCACCTTTGGGACATTCATTATATGTTTTAGCCTCCAGCCCCCTAAATGTTGCTCTTTTCTGCACTCTTTCCAGAGTCTCAACATATTCTTTATAATATAGTTGTCAGCGTTCCAAATTATATTCTCCTCCAGCGCTGACATGAATGAAAGAGGGAGAAGCTTTGCTTTAATGCTGAGATGAACTTTTACCTAGTTCCCTGCTCTTTAGGAGATAGAGTTACCTGGGTGACAGAGGGAGGGGGGAAATTCCTGTGAAAAGAAAGTGCTTGGGACGAAGAGATGGATCTGCATGATGGCCAATGAGACATTGGGGTTGAAGAACGGAAAGGGAGGGGTTTGGAAGGAGGGGCCAATTTTGGCTGCACAAGAGTTCAGGGATGTCGTTCTCCTATTCTTAAATAAAAAAAAGATTCATTAGAGACCTTGCGTTTGAGAATGAAGTTTATTTAAGATAGCAACGAAACCTGACATTAGTGACTAAAACTGGGTGCAGTATTCTAAGTGTGGCCTTACTAAATGTTTAGTAAATGCTGTCTCCCAAAAGGAAATAGGGCTGCTAAAGGGCATCCTGACCACCCAGGAACTATGGCAAGGTACAATCTCATTATTCACAGAGCAAGCAAAGTCACATAGTAACCAGTATTAAACATTCTGCCAACATTTGAAAGATGCCCATCAGTTTGAAATTTATCCAATTTTGCAACAGCAAATAAAACAAACACCCAGAGGCAAGCAAAGTCATACCCAAAAGCCAACATGGATTTGTCAAAAACAGATCATGCCAGATAAATCTTATTGCATTCTTTGACAAAGTGACAAAATTAGTGGACCAGATGTGGATATAATTTACTTGGACTTCAGTAAGGCATTTGATAAAGTAGACCACAACCTACACCTTGATAAAATAGAAAAATGTGGGTTAGACAGCATCACCACCAGATGAATTCGGAACTGGCCGACTAACCACACTCAACATGTAGTCCTCAATGGAACTGCATTGTTAATTCTAAATTCAATCCCTTTGAATATATTCGGGCCTCTGAAATGCAATTTATATCATTTGGTCTTAAAATTTCCCCCCTGAATGTTGTGGTTAGATTTCTTTTGGCTAGTATTATACCTTGTTCCCATTCAAAAACATTTTTCAGGGCATCTTAAAATTAGAAAATCCACTTAAAAAAGAATGAGAGGGATTATTCAGTGTTTTCAGTAAGTAGCGTAACTTTGGAATGGAGAGTAAGTTCAGTGGGGTAGTGTAAATTGCTTTAAAATATCGACATCAGATTAATGAGCAATAACAATTTCTCATACTAATTGTACTTTCTTTTCCAGAGGGAATTCCCCAAATTCTTCACATTCCGTGCCAGGGATAAGGTAAGGGTTAATGTTTTTATTAATGTTTATTAATGAATTTATTAAGACAGTGAAAGCAATATTTTTGAACAGTTGCTACCCTGTTTCCCCCAAAATAAGACATCCCCTGATAATAAACCCAGTCGGGCTTTTGAGCGGATGGCAATAAGGCCAAGCGCTTATTTCAGGGTTCAAAAAAATATAAGACAGAGTCTTATTTTCGGGGAAACATGGTAATTGAATGGTCGTAAGTTGGGGACCACCTGCATAACAGAATAACAGAGTTGGAAGGGACCTAGTCCAACCCCCTGCTCAACCAGGAAACCCTATACCCATGATGGCGAACAAAGCCATATCTGTGGGCACATGAGCATTGCCCTAGCTCAGCTCCAGCGCGCGTGCGTGCGTCGGCCAGCTGATTTTTGGGCCTTCCGGGCCCACCAGAAGTTGGGAAATGGGCTGTTTCCGGCCTCCAGTGGGCTTTGGGGCGGGGGGTCGGGAAGCCGTTTTCGCCCTCCCCAGGCTTCAAGAAAGCCCCTGGAGCCTGGGGAGGGCGAAAAATGGGCCTACCGGGCCCACCAGTAATCTTTTTGTTGTCGCGTGCCAAAAGGGGGGGGGGCATGGTAGGACATTACATTATGGGTGTGGACACACACGCGCGGCCTCCCCATGCTGCCCACTCTTTTGGCACGTGATGGCGAAAAGGTTAGCCATCACTGCCCTATACCATTTCAGACAAATAGGTGTCCAGTCTCTTCTTTAAAACCTCCAGTGATGAAACATGCAAAACCTCTGGCAAGCTGTTCCACTGGTTAATTGTCTTCCCTGTCAGGAAGTTTTTCCTTAATTCCAGGTTGCTTCTCTCCTTGATCAGTTTCCATCCATTCTTTCTTTTCATGTCCTCTGGTGCTTTGGAGGACAGTTTGATCCCTTCTTCTTTGTGGCAGCCCCTTAGGTAAATAAATAGATAAATAAATAAACTAGATGAGTAAACCTGCTTTTATTTATTTAGGTTATTTGAATGCCACTCTTTCCTGAAGGCTTGATATTGGATGAGAAACCTTAGTGAACGCCATGTTGTCTACCCTCAGTTGTGTGCAATGTGTTTGCTTCCTTCCTAGTTCGAAGAGGACAGAATCTACCGCCACTTGGAACCGGCCTTGGCGTTCCAGCTGGAGCTCAACCGAATGCGCAACTTTGACCTCACCGCCATCCCATGTGCCAATCACAAGATGCACCTCTATCTGGGGGCAGCGAAAGTTGAGGCAGGAGCGGAAGTCACCGATTACCGGTTCTTTGTCCGAGCGATCATCCGCCATTCGGACTTGGTGACTAAGGTGGGCCTTCATTTATTTGTGGTTCTGTGGTGGGATTAGGAATGGGTCTCGGAAATGGGAGTGGGGGGCAGACAGATAAAATCACGGTAGGGTTTCTTGAGTTAAAAAGAGCAATGAAGAGATGCTGCGGAATGGGACAACGTGCGGCAGCCATTTTGTGTGACTAGCTCTCCACAGACATCTTGCTGTGGGCCAACTCACCATGTGACAACTCGCCACAGGACAGTTTAATTTAATTATTCAATTTAATTATTTAAAATAAATTAAAAAAACATTTTAATTTTTGTCATGTTTTTGACATTTCATTCTGTCCCTCCTTTTGCATCAATGGAGATTCTCAGTCATCCAGCTCATGATTGTCCCAAAGGTGCTTTTTCAGGAGGCAAGTGGGCTTTCTTATTTTTTTTTTCTTTGAAGACGTTTCACTTCTCATTCGAGAAGCTTCTTCTGTGTCCTCAGGGTCACCTGAGTAGTGCAAATGGGTGTGGAGCCTTCTTGGCTGCAGGACATTTTCTGCCCTGTGTCCCTTCCCTGTTGAAGACGTAGGCGCAGGCTGTTGGGGATGAGTCTGTGTTGTCTGCATCTCAAACTGAAGCGCAAATGCTTCCTGACTCTATGTCCTGGCCTAGGCCTCCCAAGATCATGAAGCAGACTCCTCGTCCTGAAAAAACCTCCTTTATTTAGGTTAAAGCAGTGGTAAAATCCAAATTTTTCCCTTACCGGTTCTGTGGGCATGGCTTGGTGGGCATGGCAGGGGAAGGATACTGCAAAATCTCCATTTCCATCCCACTCTGGGGCCAGCCAGAGGTGGTATTTGCCGGTTCTCTGAACTGCTCAAAATTTCCGCTACCGGTTCTCCAGAACCTGTCAGAACCTGCTGGATTTCACCCCTGGGTTAAAGGGAATTCTTGTCCAGCAAAGTCCCAGCAAACAGTCTTTGATGAGATTTCACAACTACAGACCTTTATCAGGCTTGGAGAGTTGCCAGGCTGATATCTTCCAAATGCCATGCTGTAGCAGCAATTACTTGGCAAGAAGTCAGGAACAGATCTTCACCCTAATGAATTGAACTAATTGTCTCCTGCAAACTCCCCTCCCCTTTCACTCCTCTTTATTCCCTATGGGAGGAGCCATTCACCATTCACCTGTGCCTTTACTCCTGAGTCGGCCCTTGTTCCTTAGCTGTTCTCTTCTCCTGGCAGCTCTGCGCATGTGCACATCGGGAACAGACTCCAGCTGTTCTTCTGCCCCACTGATATCCGACTCCGAAGGCAGCTGATAACTGTCGGATGGCCCTGTCCCCATCTCTGCCTCGGATGCAGAGCACTCATCAGAGCCTTCCCCTGACTTCAGGACTGGCCCATGTTCCTCCCCAACCTCCTCACTGTCTAAGTATGCCACCAGCTCCGCTGGCCGCTGGCGGGCCACAACACTCTAAAAGAATGCAAATGACCAGCTGAGTCTTCATTTTACCAACCTCACAAGGATGGAAGGCTGAGTCAACCTTCAGCCGGCCAGGATCGAACTGCCAAACTGCTGGCAGCCAGCAGTCAGCAGAAGTAGCCTGCAGTACTGCATTTTAACCACTGCGCCACCAGGGCTCTTAAATTTTGCTAATTCTGAAGATCAGGAGCTGAATAGAACTGAATACAGATAGTCCTCGACATAGAACTGTTTGTTTAGTGACTGTTTGAAATGACAATGGCACGGGAAAAAAGGTAGTTTATGACAATTTTTCAGGTTGTCGGGGGCGAGATGCTGCCCGTGTAAACCGCTTAGAGAGGACTGTAAAAGCACTATGAAGCGCTATTGTTTTTCCTAAGTTATGAGTTTATTTTTCCAGGAAGCGTCGTTTGAATACCTACAGAATGAGGGGGAGCGCTTGCTTTTAGAAGCCATGGACGAGCTGGAAGTAGCTTTCAACAACACAAATGTGCGCACTGACTGCAACCACATTTTCCTCAATTTTGTCCCTACCGTTATTATGGACCCTTCAAAGGTAAGTTGTCCTCCTCTCCCTGACCCTCACCTTCTCTGCTTAGGCAGGGTCAAAACATGTAGAGCAGTCGTTATGCTAAAAGAACTGCAAAGCAAGTGTCCAGGCAGGAATCTTTTTTTCAAAAGAAAAATAATATTTATATCCTGCCTTTATTATTTTTATAAACAACTCTTGTGTGTGTGTGTGTGTGTGTGATTGGCCCAAAGTCACCCAGTCAGCTTTCATGCTAAAGGTGGGACTCGAACTCACAGTCTCCTTATGATTGGTCCAAAGTCACCCAGCTGGCCTTCATGACTAAGGCGGGACTAGAAGTCATTTTTCTCCTGGTTATTGGCTCAAAATCACCCGTTGCAGAGGTGAAATCCAGCCAATTCTATCTGGCTCGGGTGAACTGTTAGCGGTGGCTGGGGAGGCTCCGCCCATCCACGCGGATGTCATGATGTCGCTTTTTTGCAACGTTTTAAGCCTCTGCCCATGCACAGAAGGCTTTGGGCATGCACAGATGATGGCACGCGGGGGTAGAGCATGCGCATGGCACACACACATGGCAGACCAGTAGGGAAGGTAAGTGAATTTCACCCTGCCAGTTGGCCTTCATGCCTGAGGCAGGAGTAGAACACTGTCTCCTGTTGATTGGCCCAAAGTCACCCAGCTGGCTTTAATGCCTAAGGCCGGGACTACAACTCACATCTCCTTGTGATTGGCCCAAAGTCACCCAGCTGGCTTTAATGCCTAAGGCGGGACTAGAACTCACAGTCTCTTAGTGATTGGCCCAAAGTCACCCGCCAGCCTTCATGACTAAGGTGAGACTAGAACTCATTTTCTCCTGGTGATTGGCCCAAAGTCACCCAGCCGGCTTTCATGCCTCTAAGGCAGGATTAGAATTCACAGTTTCCCAATTTCTAGCCTGGTGTTTTAACTATTAGACCAAACTTGCTTTCTTCATCTTCGTAATGAAAACGAGAAGAGAGGAGATGTTGTTCTCATTTCTTTCCCTGTTACCGTAATTCATTTCATTTAAAAATGGGGGCTTGAGGCTGTTCCTTTCCTATTTCACCATTTATATTTTATTTGGGGGCCGCACTTCTTATATGGTAAGCAGCTGATTTATTTTAAAATCCATTATCCATGTTCATTACCCTCCCCCAAAAGCAGTAATCAATCAATCAATCAATCAATCAATCAATAATCTAACAATTGCACTTCCAATTGGGTTTGCCATGTTCTCGATACCGCAGGAACGAGCTTCTGTAGAAGCTCCTTGGGAACTGAGACCGTCTCTGAGTTTCTGAGCGAACACAAGCTCTGCCTTCCAATTGCCTTGTTTTTAATATGCACTATTTACCAAACAGCAGTATATTTGGAAGTTTAATAAAATGGCAGAATAACCTGCCTCCGAGCGGTAATCCCCGTGTTGATTTAAGGTGCTCTGGCAGCAGCGAAAACACAGGGCGTGAGTGCCGTTTTTGAAGATGCAATTTTGCCATTAATGCTTCCCTCCCCATTTAACGTATCAAAGGATTGGGTGAATGGGGAAATAGATTTGTTATGAAGTCCTCCCAAGGCAACACATTCCCCCATTCCCTCTTCTGCCTCTACACACAACACACAATTACCCACAATCTTATACTGAAAATTAAGGTGACTAGATACAATTGTAGAATCAAATGCAGGATACCCCCCCCCCCTAAAAAAGAATAATCAAGTCTCATTGCAGTATTTATTTATTTAACAGCGTGCAGTGGAAAAGTTTCCTCCAGCAAATAATAGGAGGGACTCCTGAACCAGCTTGGTCGAATGGTTAGAACACTAGGCTAGAAACCAGGAGACTGTGAGTTCTAGTTCTGCCTTAGCCATGAAAGCCGGTTGGATGTCTTTGGGCCAATTGCCAGGAGACTGAGAGTTCTAGTCCTGCCTTGGGCATAGAAGCCAGCTGGGTGACTTTGAGTCACTCTCTCAGCCCAACTGATTTCACGGTGTTGTTGTTTTGGGGAAAATAGGAGGGGAAGGATGTGTTTGTCACCTTGAGTTGTTTATAAAAAAACAACATAATAAAGGGGAGATATACATAAATAAAATAAATATAAAGAAAAAGAAACAAGTCCGTTACTGTTGCCATAGAAGTTTTGATAAATTTACTGAGAACCAAGTACTTCAAGATTGCCTCAATTACCACACATATTTTCTATGCTTCTGTTTTGCTAACCCGCTCCCCCAATAATTTGTTTTCCTCACACAACCTCATTTTAGTGCAAGAATCCAGATTAAAGCTTTTGCAACAGCCTCTGCTTGCACACGAGTGAAAAGGACCACACTGTCTCTCTGGGTCACTGGTTCCATTGTCAAAAACTGCTTTTATTCTTGGAGAGCTGCTTCTCACATTCAATGGGAATTTGGCTCTCTATCATTTAAATCAGGAGTCTCCAACTTCAGCAACTTTAAGGACTAGGGGTGTCATTCTGCCTGAGGAATTCTGGGAGTTGACGTCCACAAGTCTTAAAAGTTGCTGAAGTTGGAGAGACCCCTGATTTAAATCCAGTGATCCATATCCCGTTAGGACATCCATATCACATATAAAGAACAGTTGCTGGAACTGGGTATGTCTAGTTTGATGAAAAGAAGGACTAGGGGAGACATGATAGCCGTCTTCCAATATCTCAGGGGCTGCCCCAAAGAAGAGGGAGTCAAGCTATTCTCCAAAGCACCTGAGGGCAGGACAAGAAGCAACAGATGGAGACTAATCAAGGAGAGAAGCAACTTAGAACTAAGGAGAAATTTCCTGACAGTGAGAACAATTAATCAGTGGAACAACTTGCCTCCAGAAGTTGTGAATGCTCCAACACCGGAAGTTATTAAGATATTGGATAATCATTTGTCTGAAATTGTATAGAGTTTCCTGTCCTAAGCAGGGGGTTGGACTAGAAGACCTCCAAGGTCCTTTACAACTCGGTTTATTCAGTTCTACTCTAAAGTCTGAACTGATGATGTCTTACGGAGGGAAATTTGGAAATTCGACTGAAGTCTCGTTCTGGTTTTCTATTCTATTCTATTCTATTCTATTCTATTCTATTCTATTCTATTCCATCCCATCCCATCCCATCCCATCCCATCCCATCCCATCCCATCCCATCCCATCCCATCCCATCCCATCCCATCCTCTCCTCAACTCCAGAAAAGGTCTTGATCTTCTGGTTGAATGACTTTGCAAGCTTTGCGTGGTGTAACCTCAAATTCTCATGTCTCATTCGCTCTGTTTTTGTTCCCTAGATCGAGGAATCTGTTCGGAGCATGGTTATGCGCTACGGGAGCCGTCTGTGGAAACTCCGAGTCTTGCAAGCTGAGCTGAAGATTAACATTCAGCTCGCACCCAGCGGCAAGGCTATTCCCATCCGGCTGTTCTTGACCAACGAGTCTGGCTATTACCTTGACATAAGCCTGTATAAAGAAGTGACAGACTCCAGAACTGCCCAAGTATGTCTCCATCAGATGAATGCAGGATTATCATTGGAAAACTGTTTCTCTTTGCTTATGTTTAGTTTAGTTTAGTTTAGTTTAGTTTAGTTTAGTTTAGTTTAGTTTAGTTTAGTTTAGTTTAGTTTAGTGCCATTGCACATGGTACAATGAAATTAAATGCTATCTTCAGTGTACATTATCACTATAAAAATAAAAACACATACATCTTTTACATTCTATATAATTGAAATTGAAAACCCGATATTGCATTATACCGTAGAATTCAATATGGTGATTGCCCTGGGATAGAAGCTGTTTTGCAGTCTATTTGTCCTTGTTTTTATTATCCTGTACCGTCTGCCAGATGGTAATAGTTCGAAAAAAAGGGTGCCCAGGATGAGATGGATCTTTAAGAATGTTTTGGACTTTCTTAAGAGCGATAAAGCTCTTCCAAAGAGGGGAGAGGGCAACCGATGATCCTCTGGGCAATGACGTTGACCCTCTGGAGTGCTGTCCTATCTGCCACTGTGCAATTTGCAAACCATACACAGGTGCAGTAAGTTAAAATACTCTCTATAGTGCAGCGGCCACCAGCAGTTTTTCATTCAGTTGTTGTTTCCTGAGAAGTCTCAGGTAGTATAATCTCTGCTGGGCCCTTTTGACCAGTGCTGCAATGTGAGTGTCCCAGATCAGGTTATGGCCTCCTTATCTGTGGTCATCAGCTCCTGTTTCAATATAGTAACGCTAGACTTACAATCATTGTTTAGTGACTGTTTGAAGGCACTGAAAAATGTGATTTGGGACCATTTTTCACAGGACCGTTGTAGCATCCCCATGGTCACATCAAAATTCAGACGCTTAGCAACTGACTCATATTTATGACAATTGCAGTGTCCCTGGGATCAAGTGATCCCCCTTTTGCAACCTTCTGACAAGCCGTGTCAATGGGGGAACGAAGATTCACTTAATAACCCTGTTACTAACTTAACAACAGCAGGGATTCACTTAACAACGGTGGCAAGAAAGGTTGTAAAATGGGGCAAATCTCATTTAACAACTGTCTTGCTTAGCAGATGGGCTCAGTTTTGGTTTTAAGTCAAGGACTACCTGTACAGGTAGTCCTTGACTTACAACAGTTCGCTTAGTGACCGAAGTTACAACGGCACTGAAAAAAAGTAACTTATGACCACTTTTCACCCTTACGACCGTTGCAGCATCCCCATGGCCACATGATTTACATTCAGGTGCTTGGCAACTGACTCACATTTATGACACTTGCAGCATGCCAGGGTCAAGTGATTGTAACCTTCCAACGAACAAAGTCCATGGGGAAACCAGATTCACTTCACAACCGTGGTACTTATTTAACAACTGCAGTGATTCACTTAACCAGTGTGGCGAGAAAAATGGCAAAATGGGGCAAAACTCACTTAACAAATTTCTCACTTAGCAACATAAATGTTGGGCTCAGTTCAGTGGTGGGTTCCTCCTGGTTCAGCTCGGTTCTGTCAAGCCGGTAGCGGTGACAATATGATGTCACCGAACTGGTTCTGCCCCCCCCACCCCCCCCACGTTATTCTTACCTTTTATTTGGCCCCACCCCCAATCTATTGCTGCCTCCTGAGTCCCAGCTGATTGGCTAGAAGGAAAAAAACTGTTTAAACTCTCACTGCGGGGCTTCAAAGGGCCGCCCTACAGCTGATCAGTGCTAAAAGGCAGTGTGGTGGTAGACCGGTGCCTCCAAAAACAAATGAGTAGACCGGTGCCTGCAAAATAAATGGGTAGACCAGTGCCTCCAAAAACTAATGAGTAGACCGGTACAGCTCTGCAAGCAATTAAAAGCCTGGTAGACCAGTACCTCTGCTAAATCCTAAAGAATTGTCACATGACCATCAAGCCACACCCACAAAATAAGCCACCCCCACAGAACCGGTAGTAAAAAAATTTAGAACCCACCCCTGGCTCAGTTGTGGTCGTAAGGTGAGGACTATCTGAACAGGGATTGCTCAAGCTACAACCATTCATTTAGTGATTATTTGGAGGGACTGAAAAAAGTGACTTATTTACTTATTAAATTCCTATGCTACCCACCTCCCTTTTGAAGCAATGCCTTGTGGCTTAAAAGATGATAAAAGTGATTAAATGACAGACAGTCCTTGCAGCATCCTCATGGATATGACTGTCATAGCATCCCCATGGCGACTGACCTGTGTTTATGTAGGGTTGCTGCATCCTGGGATCCTGTGATCACTATTTATGATCTTCCCAGCTGGCTTCTGACAAACATAAAGTCCATGGGTGAAGCCGGATTTGCTTAACAATTCATTTAACAACTGCAGGAATTTGCTTAACAACTCTTCCAAAAAAGGTGCATAAAATTGGGTGCGACTCACTTAGCAACCATGTTGCTTACCAGTGGAAAATCTGGTCCAAGTTGTAGTTGTAAGTTGAGGACTACCTATATTGACTCAAATGTTCTTGAATGCTTTCCTGATCTGTTGGAATACAGTTTCCAGGATTGTCGGCTAACTGAAGGATTAAAGCTTGTAGAAAGCATTTTTGGACGTAGACCGTAGCTGAATCCAGATTGAGGGATTAAAAAAAAAAAATCACGATGATCTGACTTAATCCTGGATGTACATTCTCTTCTTTTCAGATTATGTTCCAGGCTTATGGCGATAAGCAAGGGCCCCTACATGGGATGCTGATCAATACTCCCTATGTGACGAAGGATTTACTCCAGTCGAAGAGATTCCAGGCCCAGTCCCTGGGGACGACCTACGTATATGATATTCCTGAAATGTTTCGGCAGGTAAGGACTGTGGAAGGTATCCCAAAAGTGCTTTTTTCAAGAGGCAATTGGACTTTCTGTTTTTTTTCTTCGAAGACGTTTCACTTCTCATTCGGAGCTGAAGAAGCTTCTTGGATGAGAAGCGAAACGTCTTCAAAGAAAAAAACCAGAAAGTCCAGTTGTGTCTTGAAAAAGCACCTTTCGCAAACACCCTCCGATGACCTCGCGCCTCCTCAGGAGTCTGTGGACCACAGGTGGAGAACCATTGCTCTATCACAGTGATGGCGAACTTTTTCGGGACCGAGTGCCAAAAAGGTCGCACGGAAACATCGCACGCACACACACACACACGCTTGTCAGGGCCACACTCCAAAAAAGCCGAACTTCTGGGTTCTAGCGCGCATGTGCGCCGAATGATCAGTGTGCATGGACGGCGTGCATGTGCACACTGGGTTTTGACACTGCTAGGCACATGAAGGACAGCTGATCATCACGCGCACATCAGGGGTGAAATGCTCCCGGTTCGGACCGGATCGCTCGATCCGATAGCGATGGCGGTGGGTGGTTCGGAGAACCGGTAGCAAAAATCCCTGCGCCCCCCCCCCCATGCTCGGCTGAGTCTCACGATCATCAGAGGCTTTTTTTTTTACTTTTAAAAGCATTTTTTCTACAACCCCTCCCGACGAAAAAATTCTTTAAAAAAAAAAAAAGCCTCTGATGATCGGGCAGCTCATCTGGGATCGTCAGAGGCTTTTCAAAGCATTTTTTTTCTGCAACCTCTTCGGCCGAAGAGGTGGTAAAAAAAATGCTTTGAAAAGCCTCTGACGATCCCAGTTAAGTTGCCTGATCGCCAGAGGCTTTTCAAAACATTAGAAAAAATGCTTTGAAAAGCTAAAAAAAAAAAAAAAGTTGGCCACGCCCATCCAGTCGCATTACGCCCCCCCACCAAGCCACGCCCACAAAACTGGCATTAACACATTTTACATTTCACCCCTGACGCACATGCGTGCCAGAAACCCAGATGACAAACAGGCAAGGCCCTGCGTGCCGGGAGACATGGCTTCGCGTGTCATTTTGGGCACGTGTTCCATTGGTTTGCCATCCTGGCTCTATCAGATATATTTAGAACCTGGATATGGACGGCCAATAAATTTTACAATTTTTTACATTCCCCCCTCCGTCCAAACGTGCAGGGTCCTAATAAAAATAGGATTTATTTTGTTGGATTTCACTGAATTAAAGTGGCATTAAATCGTTAAATACCGTTCGGAATTACTCCTGCTGTAATGCCTATTTTTTTCCTGTCCCATTACGAAACACAATTCAGCCGCAGGTTTCAGAGGAGAGGTTACCCGTGGCCCGAAGGCTTATTTAGTTCGTGCTTTCGACTTTCATCTAGGTTGACTGAAATCAAACCACGATAGGCAACCCACGTTTGATTTTGTCCCAAGTTCAGGGTACAAAATCTTAGTTTCTTGTTATAGTTCAAGCTCAGATCAGAAAAGATCAGAATGATTAGAAAAAAAAGAATGAAAAGGCTAAAAAATAATCAAAACTCTCCCCCCCCCTTCTGTTTCCTATAGTCTCTGCTCAAATTATGGGACTTTATGAAGGAGTTTGCGATTCTCCCTGCTCAGCCTTTGCCTTCTGACATGCTGACGTATACAGAGCTTGTCCTGGATGACCAAGGCCAGCTGGTACAGATGAACAGGCTTCCTGGAGGAAATGAGGCAAGGCTATTACCTGCTATTTTTACAGAAATCTCAATCTCTCCTGTCCCCGCTTCCCTCTCTCCCTCTCTCCTCTTTCTTCTCTCCGTCTCTTTCCTTCTCTCTCTCCCCCTCTTTTCTCCCTCCCTCTCCCTCCTTCCCTCCCTCTCCCTCTTTTCTCTCTTCCTTTCTCTCTCCCTTTCTCCCTCTTTCTCTCCCCCACCCTCCCACCCACTCTCTCTGTGTCTCTCTTCCCTCTCTTTCTCTCCCTCCCTCCCTCTTTCTCCTTTCATCCTCTTTCCCCCTTCTCCCTCCCTCTTTCTCTCCCTCCCTCTCTCCTTTCCTCATCCCTCCCTCCCTCTCTTGCTCCCTCTTGCTCCCTTCCTCACTCTTTCTCCCTTCCTCTTCCTCTCCCCCTCTCTCTCCCCCCTGTCTCTTCCTCTTTCCCTTCCTCTCTTTCTCATTCCATCTTACTACTTCCTTCCCTCTCTCTTTCTCCCTCCCTCCTCCTTTCTCTCTCTCTCTCTCTCTCTCGCTCTTCATCTTTCCCCTTCTTTCTTTCTTCCTCCCTCCCTGTCTCAACAGCCCATTTCCTTTTGCTGACATGTTCAAAGTATGGTTGAGATTTCGTTTGGTTTTTTTTAAAGCAGTAAACTACTTGGCATCTCAAGGATTGCTCTTCAAAAAAAAAAAATCCAAATATTGAATCTTCCGTCTGTCCTCCTAATATCAAAGGAAGCTCTGTGGAATCCTGGGTGCTCTCTGAGCTTGGCTGTTTGCTTGTAGACATTTTACTACCCAACTAAGTAAGATCATCAGTGCTAGTGAGTCAGGGGTTTAGTGTAGGGGTGGGTTCTACTTACCTTTATTACTGGTTCACATCGCGCCCATGTGCGCGATTCTACGCATGCGCAGATCTCCTATGATGGCATCAGGGTCAGTGGGCGGAGCCTCCCGCCAGTTCTACTACCAGTTCTTGCGAACCGGTCTAAACCGGGGGCAACCCACCACTGGTTTAATGCCCATTTATATACATTAGCTTTTCTTGCCAGTGTTAGTGGGAGTCTGGTTTTCTCCTTGATAGTTCCTTAATGAAGGTATTGTTCTCTGATTGTTCGGTTTGTCTCATGTGCACTGATGATCACATCCTGGACATAAATTGTTTCAACTTCTACCCTCAAAATGACGCTATAGAGCTCTGCACAAAAGAACAACTAGACCAGAGGTGGGCTTCAGCAGGTTCTGACCAGTTCTGGAGAACCGGTAGTGGAAATTTTGAGTAGTTCGGAGAACCGGTAAATACCACCTCTGACTGGCCCCGCCCCCATCTATTCTCTGGCTCCCGAGTCCCAGCTGATCGGGAGGAAATGGGGATTTTGCAGTAACTTTTCCCTGGAGTGGGATGGGAATGGAGATTTTGCTGTATCCTTCCCCTGCCACGCCCACCAAGCCATGCCAAGTCCACCAAGCCATGCCCACGGAACCGGTAGTAAAAATTTTTTGAATCCCACCACTGAACTAGACACAAGGACAGTTTTTTCTCAAATGCCATCACTCTGCTTAACAACTAATTCCCACAACAACTGTCAAATAATTTACTAAGACTGTATTACTATTCTTCTTCTCATCCTTCCTAGTACCTATCTCTTCGGACTTATGACTATATCCATGTTGCTTGTATCTTTACAATTTATATTGTTTTATTTGTTTCCTAGTACAATTTGATTGCTTATTAGTATCCTATGACTATCACTAAGTGTTGTATCTTATAATTCTTGTTGAATGTGTTTTATTTTTTCTTTATGTACACTGAGAGCATATGCACCAAAGACAAATTTCTTGTGTGTCCAATCACACTTGGCCAATAAAGAATTCTATTCTATTCTATTCTATTCTATTCTATTCTATTCTATTCTATTCTATTCTATTCTATTCTATTCTATTCTATTCTATTCTATTCTATTCTATTCTATTCTATCCCTATCCCTATCCCTATCCCTATCCCTATCCCTATCCCTATCCCTATCCCTATTCTTCATATAGAAAGGAAGCTAAATTTGTTCTCTGACATCTCCAGGGGGGACTGGAAAATCTTCCTATCAAAAGCCTAGGAAATTCCTACCAACCAACACAGGCAGCCCTCGACTTACAACCATTCGTTTAGTGACCGTTGAAGTTTAAACGGCACTGTAAAAAGTGACTTACGGCTGTTTTTTCACACTTACGACCGTTCCAGCATTTTCCCCATGGTCACGTGATCAAAATTTGGGTGCTTGGCAACTGGCGTGTCTTTGTGACAGTCGCATTCTCCTGGGGTCATGTGTGTAGCTCAGGGTTGAAACGAGGGAGTGTCCTCTGAGCTTGGTGGCTTTCTTGCAAACGTTTCATTACCAAACTAAGCAACATCATCAGCGCCCACTGATGATGTTACCTAGTTTGGGGAGGGGTCACGAAACATCTGCAAGAGAAACCACCAAGCTCGGAGAGCACCCAGGAACCTTCAATTTTAAATTCTGATATGTGCTTGTATAGTATAGCTATTATTCCGGGGCAGGATGTAGAATTAAACTGCTCTGTCCAGATAGAGATTTTTAAGATACGAGAAATTGGAGGACCGGAAGATTTTTAAGAGACGTCCTGTACGCAGCTGGACGGCGAAACCTTTGATAACGGTTAACCGTTTCTCCTTTTCAAAGCGCGCGAGAGAGAGCAGCGTTCAAGTGCGGCACGCGGGTTTCTCTTTGCTGGTCTTTGTCTGCCTCCATTTCTCCCCCCCCCCCCCCCCCCCCCCCCCCCCCCCCCTCCCCGAAATCCACTTCTTAGCTCTCATTTCACATTTGGAGTGGTTGGAGACCAAGGGAGTAGAGAAATTCCCAAGGGACCGAGCTGTGTTTGGGCTGAAATTACTAGCGCGAAGCTCGCCTGGCATGAACACTGAGTGTTTATTCTGCCAGTATGAATACAAATAGTCTTATTATATGGGACCCTGTACCCGAAGACCAGCCATTCACGCTGGCTGGCTCACTCTTTCCCGAGCACGCACATTTCTTTTAACCCCTTCCGTCCGCCTCGGAGGGAAACCGCCGGTCTCTTGCATCGCCTGGAGTTGAGTACATTTTTAAAAAAATCTTGTCTGGGTGCCTATCCCTTGACTTACAACCGTTCATTTAGTGACCTGTTAACAATAGGATTGGGGAAAAGGGACTTAGGATCCTCATGATGGTGCGATCAAAAATTCAGATCCTTGGCAACGGCTACATATTTATGACGGTTGCAGTGTCCCAGGCTTTCTGATAAGCCGAGTCAGTAGGGGGAAGCCAGATTCACTTAACAACTGCATTACTTACTTAGCAACGGCAGCGATTCACTTAAAATGGTGGCAAGAAAAATCGTAAAATGGCGAAAAGTCACTGAAGAAATGTTTCTGTCAGGGTTCTAAGTAACGCCCGCCAACGAAAGAAAACTCCGAGGCTTGAAGTTCCTCGAAGTTCCATTTTATTAGAGATGTCATATTGGCACATCTGGGAAAAACCGAAACCGAAAGCTTCTAGGTTTTCCCTACCCATAGAAAATTCTAAGTCCCTACCCAGCACCCACATGTCCATCACATGGTCCAATCAAAGCACCGTCCCAACTGGAGATACCTCCCAGCCACACCCCTCCAGGTGCAGGGCAAGATGTCCTTGACTCTCTGAGAAGGGAAAGTTATTATGACTATATATCACCCCTGCTCCATACAATCCCCCCTCCCAGTTTCCCATAGCAATAAATGTGGCAGGTCTGAAGGCCCAATGCAAAAGATGGCTTCCAGGCCTGATAGTTTCACTTAAAAACAGAAGTGTTGGGTTCAATCGTGGTCATAAGTCAAGGACTATCTGTAAATAGCAACCTCCTTTCCTTGATGGGGAGTCTTAAGTAGCCCACATGGCACCATCCTCCGTGCACACCAGACAGGCATCAACATGCTCTGTGAGAGCGGTGGGGTTTTGTGGAAAAACAAAACATACAGATACTTCTTGACTTACCACTACAATTGGGACGTTGCTGAGAAAAGCAGTTGTTAAGCAAGTGGCACCTGATTTTGCGACATTTTGCAGGAGCCTTGGTGGTGCGGTAGACTAAAGTAATGTTAAATAGCACTTAGCTGCCAGCTGCCTGCAATTACTGCGAGGTCAAATCTCACCAGGCTCAGGGTTGACTCAGCTGTCCATTCTTTCAAGGTAGGTAAAATGAGGACCCGGATTGTGGGGGCAATAAGCTGACTTTGTATAAAAAAGAGCACCGCTTTGGGGGGGGGGGGCGAAAGCCCTACTAAGCGGGTATATACAAAAGTATGAAGGCTATTGCTTAACGCATTGTAAGCCGCCTTGAGTCTCTGGAGAAGGGCGGCATATAAATTGAACCAATAAATAAATAAATAAATAAATAATTAAAATTTTTTTGCCACGGTTGTTAAGCGAATCGTTGCAGTTAAGCGAATCCAGTGATTGTTAAGTCGACCCAGCTCCCCTCCCCCATTGACTTTGCTAGTCAGAAGCAGAGCTGAGAAAGCCGCAGATGGCATTCACATGACTCTGGTCGCCAATTATAACTATATAATTATAAATATATGCTGGTTGCCAAGTGCCCAATTTTGACTACGAGACTGTGAGGAGGACCCATTGTAAGTCCCTCTTTTTTAAAAAAAAGTTTTTTATTTTTTAAACAAACAAACGTTTAATACATCAGTCATTCTTCCATGTGACATCTCTGTGTTGTCTCCAATCGTTCTTTTTTTTGTTATTTCTTCTCTCTTCATTCTCCTCCAATCAATTACAATTCATCACTAACAAAATATTCTAATTATAGCATTTTTATACATAACTATTAATTTACTTATTTGTATCTCTTTTCTAACCAATAGTAGAACTGATTCCATATCTTAAAATATTCTGAATCTTCTCTTTCTTTAATCATCAAAGTCAATCTATTCATTTCTGCACAATCTAAATTTTTTTTAATTACTTCTCCTTCCAAAGGTA